AATATCAGAGATAATATTAACTATAATCAACTTTTTCATGTCCATTTTGTGAATAAGAGTTTAAATAACGAAAGTAAATAATTTCGAACTACAGATTATCAATCTTATCAATTTTTTTAAAGAATACTTTATTAAAAATCTGTTGTTTTTTTTACACTTGGCTAAAAAAAGCGTTGAAATTTTACAACATTTGTGTCAACTTTGACATCATCTTACAATGTGTTGTTTTATCATTGATATTGTAAAAAAATGACGAAAAATATGCTGCGTTGATGTGCCAAACTCATATTAAGTTGAGTTATTTAAACTTAGTTTCTCAATATGCCTAAAACCTTATAATTTTAAATTAATTTAAAAACTAAGTTTATACAGGTATTTAACGAGATTTTGTTTTTTTACATATACCTTATATGAACTTCGCAATTTCATAAATCCGAGAGATGAATAATCTTTAAGCACGATACATGATACATATAAGACATGCTAACTTTTTACTTAAAAAAACGGAACATTTTACAAAAACACGTAAGAGCAACAATATTAATAAAACAGTTTAATATGCTATACTCCCCGGTGGGAAATTGGCTAGCAAATAGCTAGCTATAATCGTAACAATAAAGACAGCGATTTGGCCACGAGGATCACCAGCTTTTTTAAGTTAGCGAAAAGCTAACGATATTTGTAAAGATAAAGACAGCGATTTGGCTATGAGGACAGCTAGCTTAATAAGCTAAAGACCCACCGGCTATATCTAGCTAGCGTCATATCGTAATAAAATCGCTGTCTAAAAAAATTTAATATGTAGCTATCAACCAGCTATAGATTTGTAGAAATTTTGTAGCTAGCTACAAACCTACGATATGTAGCTAGCGACACATTGCTACAAAATTGCAATGTTTAAACTTCAATTGTTCTCATAATTATAATAGATTCAACACTGAAAAACAAGTTTTTAAAGACATTTAAAAAAAAAGAATAAAGTAAGAAAAAAAATTGCTTGAATATGGCTATAAAACTAGCTAGTCGCGCTCATTAAAGTTGAAATTAGCTGTCATGGCGCAGTGCTTAGAGCGCCTGTTTTAAAAACGAGAGGTCCGAGGTTTATTGCAAATTATGCGTCATCAGAAAGGAAAAAAGGCTTTTTTTTATTTTAAATTTTCTAATTTGTCACCCAGGATACATATTCAGACTTAAAGACTGGGAAAGGATTGACAGGTTTAAGTTTAAAAAGAAAAAACATTCAACTTCTAAATTTAGACTAAAAATTTTGAGCTTCTTTTTGGTAATCAAAATGATAAATCCAAAGGTAATTCGACAAGCTAAAAACTGATTTTTTCTTTAGATTTCTTTTAAGATAACATTGTCACAAGTTGTTACAATATTATCTTAAAAGAACACTGAATTTAGTTGGGTCAAATAAGTTACCGTGCTTTTTATGTTAGACAAAAAACAAACTAAAAACTAGAAACTCTTGCTAACTAGACTTTTTCATGGTATGTTTGGCAATGACCTAAAAAGAGCAAAAATGTTTCTCCATAATATATATCATAAATGCTGTCCATAAGTCAACAGTATGTATATCACGGAACTCATTTATTTTAGAACTAATCCCAGCAACAAATTTTTATCTTTTGCTTGCTGAAGTGAAAAATTTTCACGAAAAATAAAACGATATAGAAAAAAAAAGTTCAACAAGAATCATATTAGTTTGTTAAAAACAAATACAACAGTTAAATCGACAGTTTAATCAATCTTTTCAGCGCTTGACTAAAAACTACGCAGAACTAAAAACCAGGCTTTTGTGATCATTTGGAATGAGATTGACTAAGATTTAGCTGAGAAATATCAACACTTCAAAAAATTTAAATGTGCTTCGATGTATTTAGAAGTGCCTCGATGTAGCATAAAATCAATAATCTATACTATATTTAATCTTGTTAAGCAATTTATTGACCCTTAAAGGCCAAAACATTGGAAACAACATAGTGAAGAAAGGAGATATTCAACCAGAATATGAAAAACACCTTTAAGCTTGTGAAGGTTTTTTGATTTTAGCAAAAGTCAATAAATACTTTTCTTGTTATTTTTGTTAATTTTAGCAAAAATCATTTGCGAAATTATTTACAATAAAATAAATACTTTTCTTGTTATTTTTGAAAACAATGATTTTAAAAAAGGTTTTGCCTCGTAGTTTTTTCACAAACTGTAAACATGCAGAGTAGTTTTGTAATTTATAACGTGCAGATTGGTCTGTAATTTGGCAAGCATTTATGTTTTGGTCTAAGTATTGTAACTAAATATTTTGTCTTGATATAATGTATGTAACTTTTAGTTCGTTTTTGTAGCATTTATTGGTATTACACGTGTAATGAAGCAACAATAAATTAACAGTGTTACAAATAATGACGATAAAATAATGGAACTTTTATCTCCCTATTGTAATGTTAAGGAAGTTTAACAAAACATGTTTTATTCACTTAAACTTTTAAAATTAAATAACAAAGTTTGTTGCAATTGTTTAATTACATATATAAATAACTTTTTTCTAGAAACTGACGATTGAGCCCCTCCACTTCGAAACCGCATAAAAAATAACATTCCAATACCACGATGGCTATAAACAGGAAATAGCGCCAATATAGCTATAATGAACTAAATAACAGTTATATGGTGACTATTTGAACAATAGTGTTTTCTTAATGCTTTTTGTTATTGAACGAATTTTTTGTATAAATTGAGTTTTGTAGTTGTTGTTTTTGTTTTGTGGGAATGTGGCGCAGTGGTTACAACGCTTGCTTTATAAGCAGTAGTTCCAGGTTCGCAACGAGCTTCTTGGGGCACCTAAATAACAACAACAAAAAAAAGATACAAAAATATAGAAAATATAATTGATATAGTTAATGTAAAAACGGTTAGAATCTTAAAAACACAACTTATAATACATATTCAGTATTATTTGTGATTGCGATCGGATTACTGCCCAAAGTTGCCCAAAGTGATTGGTTAGAACACACATCGTTTATTATTTATTAAGTCATATAGTTTTTTGTATAAAACAAAACAGTTTGTCATGACGTGAGAATTCTAAGGTTTTATCTCTCATTTTTTATGTTAAAAACATAAAACTTTTAGTTTTTCTTAATTATAGGGGAAACTGGTACAAAATGGGGTTCTGGGGCAAAATAGTTTTTTAAAATAGACCTTGTTCTGAGTGTGGAAACAACTAAATAGTGATTGATTTTAAATTATCATGTAAAAAAATGCCACCATCAGTTTCATAGGTTTACAATTTTAGCAAAATTTGTCTTGACTAAGTAAATATGACTTAAAACGAACTTCGATGTAATTTAACCGTTTTATATAATTTAGTGCAGAATTTTATTATTTCATGCAATATTCTGAAGTTCATATTTCATTTAACTAATATAGAACTGGGTATTATTAAAACTTTTGAATTATGAAAGTATGCATTTTTTTTAGACGTGGTATTGTTTTTAACAATATGCCACGAATAGGGCATAATGGGGTATTCCCTATTTTGCCCCAAGATTTTTTAGATAAACTGTAAACTAACTACAGTTTATTTAAAAAATTGATTTATTTTTATAAAAATAAATCAATTTTTCATTCTGAATACATTTTTGTTCCACATAACATATCTTTTCTATTTATATTTTGAGTTAAAATATATATGAATGTGTGCTTGTGTGTGTGTGTGTGTGTGTGTGTGTGTGTGTGTGCGTGTTTGTGTATGAGTGAGTGAGTAAATGTGTGTGTTTGTGTGTGTGTGTGTGTGTGTGTGTGTGTGTGCGTGTGTGTTAAAAATACAGATATTAAAAAATTAATTATTTAAATTAATTTATTTATTGTATCTATACTAAAATAAATTAACTTTTTATTTTAGCATAGATACAATGTATTTAAAAAATCATCAATATTAATATTTTTTAACAATTTATATGTATTATAGCCAAACACAAAATTATTAAATGTGTAAAGTATGTTAAAACTATTTTCTTATTAAGTTTGAAGTGGTTAAATTAGTACTTATGTACTTTAGCTTTAGATGCATTCAAAACAGTATTCACCCTAGAGGAGGAAAGTTAATTTGTTATGCACATTCAGCTGATAGAAAGGAGCTTTTTGGACTCAGCTTATTAATAAGCTCAAATTTGCTCAGCTTATTAATAAGCTCAAATTTGAGCTCAGAAAGTTAGCGTGTGAGCTGGTTGATAAAAAAAATTTAAAAAAACAATTTTTATAATAACCTTGGCGTTGCTGGTTATTACTGGTTTTAAGGTTTTAAGGAGAGACATTCCAAACACTTGTCACTATGTAAACCAGAGGCTATATCAATTCTTATGCTATAGGTTTAACAGAGTGGATGTAGATTCTTTTTTATCAAAGACTTTGTAGATCTAACTTAGCTGATAAAAACTAGTAGTTTTAATTCATAGAAAAAATCTCTATAACATGATTTTCATTGTTTCTAAAGTGTAAAATAAGCTCTTTCCAATAAATACAATAAAACAATAAAAGTTTATAGTGTTGAGTTTGTGACGTTATTTGTTGAACTATAGACTAAAATCTAGGCATGAAATAATAGTTGGTATAAGTAATTTGCAACCTGCACCTTCGGTTTACTAAGAACTCATGTTTTCAAGATATATAACTCTTTGATTGCAAAAATATACGACCCAAAAATACGATTTTTAGCTACTGACTTATATCGACTGAAGAATTACGCATGATTAAAATCTAAAATTTAAAAAAAAAAAAAAAAAAAAGTTAATTTATTAATTTCTTATTAATTATCTAATTTATTAATTTCTTAAAAAGGATCTTCAAAAATTTGAAAAAGTTTTTGATTCCCTCTACAAATCAAGCAGCTTTTTTATTAGAGTTTTTATAAAGTTACAACTGTTTCGAACATACCGAAACAAAATACAGAATTTTTTTTTTAATTTAAAATTTAACTTTTGTTTTCGTGATCGACCTTTTATATTAAGGTTAAAGCAAAAAACAGTATTTTCAAAATGTATTTTTCTTTTTCGTCAATAAATTCAACTTAAGTTTCCACGATCAACTTAAGACGAAGGTTGAATTTTGGATAATTTTTTGTTTTGTTTTGTTTCGGTATATTCTGTATTTTGCTGCGGTAGAAGAAAACTTATTCTACTTTATAATATTAATTTATTCAAATTTATTATTTTATTATTCATTCACTATTTTATTCTTATTATTTTATTCACTATTCATTCACTTATTTGTTCTATAGACTACGTTTAAATTATATAATTGTGGTTAGTAATTTTTTATTCTAAGGTTTATAATAAAAATTCATCACCATAATTGCATAATTTAAATATTGTATCAAGAATAAATTTATAATATTATAAATTAAATAAGTTTTTCTTATAGCTAATTATATTGTAATAATTAAAGTTCAACCCATTTGATCCATCGGTGCATAAACCGTCAGAAATTATTGATACCTGATCAAAAAAAGTAGTTTTTAGACAAATATATTTAATAATGATAAATTCTCGTATAATTATCAGACTTTTATAAAATTATTTATATTTATTACTAATTGTATTACTAATTCTAAGCTAATGATATGTAACAATCTAATATGTAAACAATTGCAAATCTTTACACACATCCTATTATATTTATATTTAATATATAATATATTAAATATAAATATATAACTTATATATTTATATTTAATATATCATATATTAAATATAAATATATAAGCATGTGTGTAAAGATTTATATAATATAAGCGTGTAAAGATTTGCAATTGTTCACATATTAGATTCTTACATATCATTAGCATGATACATATTTAACTTGTTACATATCATTAACTATATTTTTATATATGTATATATATAAATATATATTACATATATTATATATTTATTAGTTAATTTAATGACTTAATATATAGGTGATACTACATAATGTAATATTACATAATGTAATATTACATTATGTATTACTAATACCTACTATTATAATAGCTTAACGTGCATACATTTATAATACATTATATTAAAGGTATGTACATATAATATATGTATATAATATACATATATTATATGTACACACATATAGTATAATGTATTAAAAATGTATGTACATAAATTAGATAAAAAGCTATTATAATAGAAGGTATTACATTATGTAATATCTAAATATTTAATAATTAAATTAGCTATATATTTAATTATTAAATTATTAAATTAGCAAATAATATATGTTTATATATACATGTATAAAAAAAATATAAGTTTAATACATATATATAAATATATATATATATATATATATATATATATATATATATATATATATATATATATATATATATATATATATATATATATATATATATATGTATATATATATATATATATATATATATATATATATATATATATATATATATATATATATATATATATATTAAACATATATATATATCAAATATATATATTATATTGATATTGGTACGAGGTAATTTAGTGGTTATAGAATGATTTGTGTCAGCAAGGATTTTATTAAGTATATTAATACAGTTCTTGTCTAGTAGTTCTTTAATGTCAAAACAAATATTGAAATGGCTTGAGTTGGTTGCATCAACTCTGATGATGTGTTAGGCATTTTTGTGGAAATGTTATATCTCTTTTTTTGCCGCAAGACTGCAAGAGGTAAGAACTGGGGCACTATATATCATGTGGCAAATAGCGTAAGACCTGTAGACTTGAAGAAGGTTAGGCTGAGTGTGCCCGATTTGCTTAAGGCGCTTGAGTAGAAATGGCACTGGATTTATAGCATTGTGCACTTTTATCCATTGTTCATCCCAATCAAAAATCTCATTGAGCAGGACTTCAAGGTATAGCTGTATATAATTTCAAGTTTAGTTTTATTGAGTATGGGAGATAGTAGAGCACAGACCAACGTGTGCAACGCCATCAGCAGTTGATTAAGGTAAATTGGCAGGAGCTTTATAGTAGATAATGTAGGTCAGGATGTCGCCAGTATATTTTTCGAGAATGGTTTCAGGTGGGAGGTAGGTGTTTATGTCGGAAATAAAGAGAATAAAAAGAATATATATATATATATATATATATATATATATATATATATTTATTATATTTATGTATATATATCCCCCATATACCCCATGAGGGAGGGGTATCTATCAAGTTTAGGAGGCCTATATACAAATTTAGGGGTCCTATAACAAATGTAAAGAGCTTCTTTTTTTTTTACCTAATGGAAAAATTTTGAAAATTTTGGGGCCCTAATTACAAAATTTGGGGGTTACCTCGGACCCAGTAGCATATATATATATATATATATATATATATATATATATATATATATATATATATATATATATATATATATATATATTCTTGCATGGTAGTCGAAAAGTTTCTTTCATAAACTGTGGTTTAAATTGAACTTTAATAAACCAGACCAGAAAAAAAGAACCTTAAAATTTTTTTTAAAAATAATAGATTGCTTGCCCAAACCAAACCTTATTTCGATGTAGTGGCATTTCGTTGTAGCAGCAGGCTATAAGGTAGCCGTTGTAGCAGAAATCCCTTGTAGCAGCAGGCTACAAAGTAGTGCTACTACATCTACTCAGTTAAAGCCCTTGGCACAAGCAACTGATTTAGCCTCTGGTTTACTAAGTGAAAAGTGTTTAGAATTTCTCTATATGAAGCCTTTATACCAGTCATAACAAGCAACGCCAAGATCATCATTAAAACTGTGTTTCTAATTGTTTTTAACTGCAACAGGCTATAAGATAGTCTATGTAGCAGCACTCCCTTGTAGCAACAGGCTATAAGATAGCCAATGTAGCAACACTCCCTTGTAGCAGTAGACTATATGATAGTCAATGTAGCAACACTCCACTTGTAAGTGAGTAGGGCCCCGACTGAAAATGAGACTTTTTGCAAACCTGGCCCCAGCAAAATTAAAAGATTTAGCAGGGGTTGGTAGCCGGGGCTAAAAAATTTTTTTAATACTTTATATATTATAATTTTATCCTTACATTTACTGTTTATTAAATACTGGCATACATTTATATATTTTTAAACTCTAATTTACTTCCAAGAAAATTGCAAGCAACCATTATTAAGTTATGAGTTACTTTAACTCATAACTTAATAATGAATATGGGTAAGAGTTATAAGGTTTTTTTTTATGTTTAAGGAAAAAAACTGGATTAATAAAAGCTTTTATAGCGTGAAGGGACAGATACAGTAAAAGGACGCAACTTGTTGAATAAAAAGCCAAGCCAGAATGAGTTTTGGTTTATCGTAATAGAGATGATAGGTCATTTGAGCATTGACCATGATTTCATTTGTAGAGAAAAAAAAAAGAAATGCAACCTTACAACAATGAAGTTTACAATGTGATTTTAGACTTAGTCTGAAAGTAAGAGGGTTGTTATTCGTCAATATAGGAATGCCAACGGTATTGGAATATTTTTTTTTGCAGTAAATAAATGAGTTGTGTTGTTTAACAAAAGTTGTGGTTTTTATGTCCAGAATTTAAATCCATAAGTCACTGCAAGCCTTCGGCTGTTACAGAAAAGAAATCAGATTTAAAATCTGTTTGTTCTAAGCAATTAAAAAGTGAAGATTTTTTGTCAAGACAAGAGTTTTAAGTTGATTCATCAACAAATAGAGCCACTTTCGATTTCATGAAGATTGTTATTGTAGATAAAAACAATACAGGAGCAAAGATAAGACTTTGTGGTACCCTTAAAGTTACTTAAAATAAAGAAGAGTGTAGGCCTTCAAGAATAACTTTACTACTGCAGTTAGAAAGAAATAGTTTCATAACCTCAAAACCTTTATATAAAGAAACTAATAACAGAGTGAAGACTAATTGCAGGAAAGTTGAAGAGATCAAAGTGTTTTCTAGAGTTTTGAAAAATTGGAACCACTTATTTAGCACTTTTTAAAAGTTTAACAAAAATTGAATAGAGTTCTGGAGAACACTTTTATCTTGTCTGAAAATCTTGTCTGAAAATCTTGTCTGGAGCACAAACTGTAGAAGTGTTTAATTGAGAATTAACTTAAGCATTGGAAGCCAGAGGGATATAAATGTTTAACAATGGGTTAATCTGTTTAAACAATGGGTTAATGACACTATTAAAGACTAACCAAAAGTCTCTAGAACCTAATGAATGAGATAAGATTTAGTAAACTGAGAATAACAGAGCTTAACGTCATACAGGACTTTTTTGCATTGGCTTCTTGCAATAATAAAAGGACATTTGTTCTTAAAAGAGATGTTCTTGTAAAAAAGATGAAAAAAAAAGAGCAGTTGATTTATTAATGTTTAATAAATCAACTGCTCAGGATGGTGAAAAATGTGTAGTAGAATGAGGCTTTACTTTAATTTGAAGAGAAGTAATAAAAGCTTCCAAAATTTTATTCCAGAAAGAAAAAAAGCTTCCAAGATGCACTTTATGCATACATATTATGGATATAAACATATATGCTTGCTATTTATTTAGATGCTTGCATATAATATCCTTTTATATTTATATAAACTTAAATATTTATATGGTGTAGTATTTGCCAAAAGATAAGATGATCAGATAATAAGATGATCAAAAGATAAGATGATCATGGTAATGATGGCTATGATGATTATATTGATCATAATATGTTTAAATATGCATATATATACAAAATATAATATGAACTTTGAATTAAAAAAATATACTTTAGGATGAAAAAGTATACTTTAGGATCACCAAGTTCTCTAAACCTACCATTCACTAATATTTGTGGTCTTCGAAGTAACTTTTCTTCTGTTGAGTCTTATCTCTTGCTAAGTTCACCAGACCTACTTGCTCTTTGTGAGACTAATTTGAGTTCGGCTGTCTCATCTTTTGATCTTAGTGTTGATGGTTATCTTCCTTTAATTCGTAAATAATCCATAGTCACATGCTTGGCCTGGGCATTTACATTCGTAAAAATTCACCTTTTTGTTGAATGAAACTAGGTTTGAATCCACAGACTATTTTTTGATGTGCTTTCGTTTAGCACCACTTCACTATATTGCCTTTCTTTTTGCTCTATATCTCCACATTTACCCTTAGGTGCTTCTGATCACAGTTTGATCTCTGTAAAACTATTATCTCATTCTCCTTCATTATCTGAATCCCCCTATCATTGTATCTCTTACAACTACCTTAAAGCTGACTGGAACTCTTTCTGTGATTATCTTCGTGATGGCCCTTGGGTAAAAATCTTTCTTCTTCCTGCTGACAAATGTGCTTCTACATAACTTCGTGAATTCAGGTTGGCATGGAATCTTTTTTTCCCACTACAACAGTTTCAGGTCAAGCCTCACTCTTCTCCATGGTTTTCCTCACATTGTGCTACTGCGATTTTCAATCGAAACTGTTATTTCCATATCTATCAGCTAAACAATTCTCCAGAAAACAGATGTCTGTTTATTATTGCTACTAACCATTGTAAAAAAGTTTTGTCTAATGCCAAGGCACACTATTCTCAGGTCATGAAATCTCACAAAAATTAGCTCTTGTGACTTCTGGAGAACCTTTAATAGTATCAATAATAAGGGCAAATCTGTTATTGCACCTCTCTTGTATGGTTCAGACTTTGTCACCTCACCTAAAGACAAAGCTGAATTGTTAGCTAAGAACTTTTTATCAATATCATCTCTTAATTCCACTAGTTGCGTTCTACCTGATTTAGACGTCAAATAGGTTGATCCATTGCTTGACATTCGTATCACTCTAGCTTTTGTATCTAAAGTGATCTCCTGCTCAGACTCTTCTACAGCTTGTGGTCTGGACAACATACCTGTTATAGTCTTACAGAAGTGTTCCCAAAGGTGTCTTCTATTATTTCAAAACTATTAAGTGCTTGGAAAGAGGCATCTGTTATCCCTATTTACAAAAGTTGGTAGTATCCCTATTTACAAAATATCTTGGTAATTTGAACCTACAGGACATACATTCAACCCAAACCCTAACCCTGAACCCAGACTTGTTTTAGTACCGCTAGAGCAGTATGGGTGCTCAAATAAAAAATTTTTCAGTTTTTTTTGTTTTTGTTTTTTTTATTAAAATAGTAAAAAAAAGTTTGGTTTCAAGTGCATTAGTATTTAACTAATTTTCTGTTTATTTGATTTTTTATTTTTCTTGATTTTTTCTTTAGCGCAATGAAATGAATTAAAAAGTAATTATGCAGCATAACTTGTTTAATGTTTAAAACTGTTTTTTGGTTACTAACTGAACATAAGATTTAATAAAATGAATGTAATAAATCTCAATTTGAATACTTATTATGAAATTGAAAGACTATGGAATTCATAAAAAAATTTGTTTTTTCAAAAGGTAGAATGATTTTAAAATATCCATTCAAAGTAAAGTTAAAGTTAAGTAATTTCAAAAATATCTCCTCAACCCCCTATACACGAACACCTCACCAAAAAAAAGGTATCCCCAAATAAACTCTGGGTTTGTCACTGATAAATTGATACTAAATTGACATTTTTTTTGTGATGGAATAGGACAATTTTAATAAAAATTCTCAATATTTTGTAAAACAATAACAATAAATATTCCCAATATATATATATATATATATATATATATATATATATATATATATATATATATATATATATATATATATATATATATATATATATATATATATATATATATATTATTTATGTTATTTAGTTCCTTTCTGTATTATCTAATTAATCTAGATTAAATAATCGAAAAGTCTTGTTTTTTTCATAATCAAAAATCTTTTTTGAATATTGAATGGATTGATTAAATGATATTATTTGTTAATCAGAGTTTCCCTGTTGACATCATTGTTGTATATATTTTTAGATCTAAAATGAAATTGTTTTCTAATCCTATTGCACTCTCTGTTATTGGATCTGACTCTCATATTCTATACAGATGTCACTGTGAAGAGTATAAACCTATAACTATGCTGTACTTTTGTCGGCACTGTACAAAACTAAGGTGTACCAAATGTGTTACACATGAGGTAAGCAAATTTGTTCACTCATTCTATCTAATATTTGTATTCTGCTTTTTGAAGGTTTCAGTATTTGGACATTATTATTTTCATAAATTTAATAAGAATAAAATGCTTTAACATAGGCTGAGCTTGCGCTTATGCACAAGCCAATTTTTACTTTAAACATTTTATATTCCCAAAGCAATCAAAAGAAAAAGGAAAATATATTCTAGACACAAAAAAAAAACACACCCTGCAGTGTTTAGTGTGAATAAAAAATGCAAACGCTTAATTAGGAAAGCAAAGATTGACTTAGAGTATATGCTGGTTCGAAATATCAAATATGGTTCTAAATCATTCTTTGTTTATGCTAGAAGCAAAACAAAGTTAACAGTTGAAGCTGGAGTGTTGTTAAAAAAGATGGTGTTAAAATTGATTCAGTTACTGGAATAACTAAAAAAGAATTAATAAGTGTTTTACATCTGTTTTCACTATGAGAATTTTGACATAATACCAGAATCTGAAGGTATCTTTAATAGGCCTAATATTGGTAGGATGAGTGACTGCATCTTTACCAAGAATGATGTCTAAACTTATATAAAATAGATAAATCAGCTGGAGCTGGAGCTTATATAAAATAGATAAATCAGCTGGTAATAAGGCCAAGGCTACTTTACAATATTTAAAATAAAGTTTGTGTTCCACTTTATTCGCTGTTTCGTAAATCACTTGATGATAGGGTGGTGCCATATGATTGAAAAAATACTAATGTGATTCTACTATTTAAAAGCAGTAGTAGATCATACGTAGAAAATTACAGATCTGTTAGTCTTACTAATCAAATTTGTAAGCTATTTGAATATATGCTTTAGTCAATTACCTTGAAATGAATCAAGCAATAGTAGACTCGCAACACGGTTTACAACTCGAAGAAGATCTGCAAAAGCTTGTTAGGTGGTCTATTGAATGGCAAATGCAATTTAATGTAATGAAATGAAAACTTAATTTTTTGGTATAAATTGAAGTTTTTTTAATTTGATCATTCATTTCTGATGAGTCTTTATTGATGAAACACAGTGTTAAATAAAAAAAATTTTTGCTAAGTGGTTTTATACTACTTTATTATTGCTCTGTTCTTTTAAGAACATTGAGCACTCTATTTTGTAGAATACATTTTAAAATAGTTTATATATATATATATATATATATATATATATATATATATATATATATATATATATATATATACATACATACATACATACATACATACATACATACATACATACATACATACATACATACATACAGGGCCTATTCTAGGAAAAATATTCGGGCAGTGGTACCCCCTCGTTTTGGCAGACTTTAGCAGAAAATCTGCGTTTTTTTTTCGCGAAAAAAACAATATTTGCCATAAAAATGTAAAATAATTCAAAAAAAAAAGTCCTCAAATTTTAACTTGGGCGGCACCGAAATTAAAATTTGCAAAGATTATGCAAAGTCATTCATTAAAAAAATTTTATTTTCTAATCACCTTAAGATATTTTTTAACGCATTAGATTGTCATTAACTTTAACATTTTTGTTATGAATATCTCATTCATTTATGATTATTTTTTGCATTTATATTACAAAATATATTTGTTATATTTATAATATAAATATTTTTATTATATTATAATATAAAATATTTTTTTATTATATTCATTTAGTTAAAACTATAACTTAAACTAAGCGACTGATTGCAACATTGTAAACAATTGTTTAGTAAAAACATTATTTAAAATTGACAAAAACATGCAAATAAGATCAAGCTCATTCATTCATAGTTTAATTGCAAAAATGTTTCTTTTTCTAGCATTTTTTCGCAATGAAAAAGCATATTCAAATATTAATAAATGAACTTTTACGGTTTCGGTTACTGAAAAGAAATCTTGTAATGTTTTTCCTACAAAAAGATACAAGAAACATTGGAAACCTTTAAAAAAACATTTATTTTTTATGACAAAACCCCTTTTTCTATATATTAACTTATCTAAAATTAAAAAATAAGACAATTGCAAGGTTATTTATTTAAAAAACAAACAAAATACTGAAAAAGGTTTTGAACTATTCGTTGTTTGATTCATAAGATGACAAATCCAAATCAATTAATGTTTTTGAACCAGTTTTTTTCACCTTTTTGATTAATTTTATCTTCTGATTGTGTTGGCCTTCACACTACATCATCCACCCAATAACTCCAAAGCAGGACTTAAATCAAATACATTAGAATCTTTTCCTTGCAAACTTACTTGAATAGCGTTAAGCTTGTGATTCAAAAATAGATTTTTTTTCAGTAATTTAAAGCATTTTGGGATTAATATTTGGACAAACATTGCACAGAAACAATAGAATTTCCAAATAACGCGTGTGATTTTGGGATTGATATTTAGACAAACAAACAGATTGATGTCATCATAACAGTACGCTATTAAATTTTATAACATTTCCCTTTCAAAGAGTTGCATGTGTCTATTTTAAGTCTATTTATTATTGAAAAAAGTCATTCAACTTTTGCATTCAATACAGGCAAAGTAAATAATAGTTAGATGAGAAGTAAAACCGAAACCCATTCATTTTCGATCAAGCTGGAGAATATTTGGTGCCATAACTGCAGTAACCAATATTATGTGGTACTAAGTACTTTAGGGTAAAATATACTAAGCTATGCCAAAGCGTCCAAAACATCAATTATGCTTCCGGTGAAACCAGCATGTTGCAAAAATGTTTTGTAAAAGTTATAAACTTTTTCTATTCCAGCCTTCTGTATTTAAAATTTTTGTTCTATGCATATCAGGGATATTATCACATGTTTCTAAATGTTCTATGATTGAATTTGTTGCTAACTCAAAAAGAATAGACTTTAATTTTTTTACTAAACATTTAGCATTTACAAAATTGTTAAGTGCGACTGAAAAGGCTAGAAATTTTTATTTTAAAAATAAAACTTTCTAGCCTTTTCATTTACTATGGCAAGGAAATATTTTACTGTTGTCAAATCAATAAATTTTTTCTTTTGAATATGATTTAATTTGTTTTTAGCTTGTTGAATAAACCCTGATGAAACTAATACATCAATTTCATCACTTTGAAAAGATTTTGACAACATTTTTGCTGGTGAAAAATTTTGATAAACAATGCAATATAAAGTGGTATTCTTGCGTGAGCCCTCTTCTTGTGGTATCCTTTAAACTTAGCTCATTCTAAATTTGTAAAAGTGAGATCTTCCATCATATTTTCCAGATGTGTTAAATTGACACTATTTGTTTAATATTATCTCTAAAGCCTGGACTTTATGTAAAATCCATTTTGTACTTAAAAATGAGACTTTTGCAATTTATATTTTACTTTATAGTCAACAAATTTAAGAATATTAGCATGATCCATCATACTAAAATGGTCAACTAAAATGGTAAAAAATATAACATAAATAAATCAAGCAAATTAATACCGGAGGCTTTCTTAGGTCAGTAACCATCAATGTTATATTCATCATCTTTTCAAATAGATACAAGTTCACCGAGCTGCATTAACATTTTAGGTGATTTTTTGTAAATGTAATGCATTCTTAAAATAATACATTCAATGTCATTAAATGATTCAGTCATGATTCCTAATTTATTTTTTAGTTATAACTCGAGATGATGTGCTACACACCAACCAAACGTGATAGAATTTCAGCTCTGAGCAACATTTTAACACCTGATTCCTCTATTTACAGATGCGCCATCTGCACCAAAACCAACTAATTTGTTATTACAGTTTTCGATTTCTATATTCTCAAGTGATTTTTTTATCGTGTTAAAAACTCTGTGCGATGTTCCATATTCAACATCTGAAAGTGAAAGAAAGTCACATTCAACACATACTTCCAGTTTTTCAGTTTGGATTGGATTGAAGGAGACAACAAATATTTCCATAATTTTTTCAATTAAAAGATTGTTAGAACTGTCAGTTAGAATAATGAAAAAGTTTCAATTATTCAGTTTTTTTCTAAAGATCTTTTGCCAAACTCAGAGCAATGTAGCAATTGATACACAATTGCAATGAACATGAGCACATGAGCAATGAACAATTGATATACAAGTATTTGCGTTCTTGCAAACTTGACAAAAGACTACACCATGTTTCTCTTGTAATTAAATTACTTTTGTATATAGATTAAGCGACAGTTCTTCTTTTGCTATAAAGTAAGCAACTTTGAATTTCTTTTTGGTCAAATCTAGATCCTTACTATGCATGGTTTGAATACCGGATAAAATGTCTGTTTGCTGTATTTCCTGCTGCAATTCATACTTCTTGTTTTCATAAATATTTTAAAAGCTTTCTGATGCATCATTCTTTCTGCATGTATGATTGCAGAACTGTGTTGCAATCGACTGCATCCTTTTCACAACTCCATTCTAGGGTGTACCTTTTTAAAATCTGAATTTGAGAAGCATATTCTTGGCATACTCTGCATTTTAGCGCAGTAACTATTCTGTCAACACTTTTTATTTAAATCAATCATAAGGATTATATTTCACAATTGTAGAATCTTTCCACTTATTAGCTGTTTGTAACTGTAACTTTCTTTTGTAAACTTTTACTTTATTTTCAGCGGGTGTTTCAGATCCTGATTTCCTTTTAAAAGAAATAATTTTCTTTTGCTTTTTTTCCCACATCCATTTCATGATTATTTTTATACTTTTTATGTAATTTTACTTCTAAAACTTATTTTCTAAATATTTTAAACAAAAACAATTTTATTTTGCCTAAAGCATTATTTTTTCTAGTCAATATTCTTTCTTCTTCCAATCATAAACACGCATTATTTTATATTTTTCAATATTTTTAACAGAAATGTTATAGTTTTTAAATGGTAATGCAAATTTGATTCATTAAAAAAAACTCAATTTATTCAAAATAGTTCATTAATGGGTAACAAACTTTTTGTTTATATTAATTTTGTAATATCTTTGTTTCTCTTTTTTAAGCGATGTTTTACTTTTAGCGTTTTTGTGTTGATGTTTTACTTTTGTCTTTTCAACGTTTTTGTGCTGTTTATTTTGGAATGTTTTTTAAATGGAATTTTTAATATAAAGTTTGACTTGCAATCTCTCTCTCTCTCTCTCTCTCTCTCTCTATATATATATATATATATATATATATATATATATATATATATATATATATATATATATATATATATATATATATATATATATATATATATATATATATATATATATATATATATACATATATATATATATATACATATATATATATATATATATATATATATACATGCAACTTTATAGACTAGAATGTTTTTTATTTTTTATTGTTTATATACATTTTACTGACAAATAAGTTCAACATGGAGTGCTGCTACATGTTGAACTTAAAAAAAGAAAAGGTTTAGGGCTTACATATATTAACATTGTTATATTTGGTAAAACATGGAGGCATCAGAACATGGATGCTAAAAAACAACCAGTATCTTGATTTAATTTTTATATCAATCGATCGGTCTTGAAAGCTACAAAACTTTAGTATTAATAATTCTGTGAAAAACTCTCTGCAAAGCATCATTTAAATGATGAACATCTGGTCCAAGCAAAAACAATTGTTCTCAATTGGTGTCTTAAAGAAATTGCTATTTTTAAATTACACGAAGCAGCAGTAGCTGAATGAATTAAATTACATGAAGCAGCAGTAGCTGAATGAATTAAATTACATGAAGCAGCAGTAGCTGAATGGATTAAATTACATGAAGCAGCAGTAGCTGAATGAATTAAATTGTGAATATTTCAAGACTTTTGGAAAAAAATCAAAAATATTCACACTTTTATCATTTTACATTTTATTAATACATATTTTTACATATTTGTTATGTTTGTTTACTTGGAGCTTTGCGGTCTTTTCAATACATTTAGATGTTCTGCACCAAAATACACAATATATTTAATTATTTATATATTATTACAAATAAGTTGTATTTTATTGTAAAACTTCACAATAAATTGTTGTCTAAAAAATATTATAGAATTGTATTTTTTAATAAGTATTAAAAATCATAAAGTCTAATTTTTTTTTTTTTTTTTTTTTTTTTTTTTTTTTACAATTTTAACAAAATCATTTTACATTTTCTACAAAATCGGAAATATAAGAAAACATTAAACATGATTTTGTAATCAATTTCAGTTTCTTTCAAGTCAATAAGCTAACACTTAAGGTATTCATGAATATTTTTCTTGCATTGTTCTCAAAATATTTGCAATTATACATTGACAAATTAGTAAAATATATAAATCTAAAAAATATATAAATCTTCATCATTAAAATATATACTTTTGTATTCTCTTAAACTCTAAAGAAACAAAATTCTAAATTTTTAGCTACACTTTTAACTCAGGCTCATCCCAGGCTCCTCAGCTCCTGATACATTGTTATCTAAAATAAAGTAAAATTAATTTTTACAGGATTTTAATATTTTTTAGATTATATTTAGAACTCTGATTTAGATAACATATTAATTGTTATCTAAATATTAATTAATATGTTATCTAACATATTAATTGTTAGATAACATTATAATTGTTATATATATATATAATATATATATATATATAGATATTGTTATCTAAATATTAATTAATATGTTATCTAACATATTAATTGTTAGATAACATTATAATTGTTATATATATATATATATATATATATATATATATAGATATTGTTATCTAAATATTAATTAATATGTTATCTAACATATTAATTGTTAGATAACATTATAATTGTTATATATATATATATATATATATATATATATATATATATATATATATATATATAGATATTGTTATCTAAATATTAATTAATATGTTATCTAACATATTAATTGTTAGATAACATTATAATTGTTATATATATATATATATATATATATATATATAGATATATATATATATATATATATATATATATATATATATATATATATATATATATATATATATATATATATATATATATATATATATATATATATATATATATATATATATAATTGTTAATTATATATATTATTGCTGATAGTATATATTTTTTTTTTATAGGTTGATTCATTTTATTGTCCAAACTGTTTGGAAAACATGCCATCTGCTGAAGCAAAATTAAAAAAAAATCGGTATAATAAAGTTTATAAACATTTATTTATTAGTGGTTTGTTACACAAGCTTAAATTTTTTTTTTTGGTGCCTATAGTGTTACATTTGTTTCTTGGTAATTTAAGAATGCTTAACATGAAAATGACACCTATTTTTTACTATAAGTTTTATTTTCATTCCTAATTTTTTGGTGATAAATAAAAATGACTAAAGTAATGCTACCAACATGAGTGAAAAACTACTCAAAAATAATTACAGTTATTTTTTTTAAGTAACAGAACAAACAGGTGTATTATATATGTTTATACAAACAGACTATATATACATTCATAAGTGATATATATTTTATACATTTAAGTTTATACATTTCTAAGTATGTAGTAAAGAAAGGTGTAGTAAAGAAAGGTGTAGTAAAGAAAAATGCAATGTGTAGAAAAATAGTGTAATAAAAGTATTTTACTTTTATAGAACAAAGAAAGTTGCAAATACTTTTGCATTTGCAATTTTTTTCAATGGAAATCAGGTACAAGGGGCTTCCCATTCCAACAGTATTTGATATCGTTTAGATATCCTTATTTGTTATATCATTTGTGCTTTCATTACTTTATCCTGATGTATCTTGCCTCGTTGATGAATAAACTGAGTAAATCAAAAATATTAAGCAAACAACCTAAATGATTATGAAGGAAGTGCAGTTTAAGTAAAGATTCTTAGAGATTCACAAGTTCTTCATAGTTACGAGTTTTTTAGTTATCCAGAATTTTTTTTACAATCTCTGCAATGAAGACCATGCAGCTCATCTAATATTATTTTTAATTGCATCTTTAATAACTGATGAGTTTGGGGTCTATCAAATATGACAGTTTTTTAATTTCTTATTGCTTAAACCTAGTAAAGTTTTGCTAATGTAATGAAACAATTAACCTTTTTTGTTTAATGCTTTCACAAATTGTTTCATCAGCTCTAACTTAACGAAAAGAAATATAGTTTGAACTTGTGATACTATTAGCTATAATATTCTGTTTACTGACTTTCAGTTCAGTTTGCAATTTTTTTTTAAATCCTATGATTTTCTCTATCTTTGCTATTTCAATAACAAAAATAACATAGACATTTGCTTATGCTATCTTGTTGTCCTAGCAACTAACAAAAAATAGTTTACCAATTTTAGATCGTCATATACAACCTGGTATACTGGTGGTATAAAAATAACTCTCTCTAACCCATTATTATATCTCTATTTTAAATGTAGAACTTGAAACTTTTTTCAATTTAATTAAAGGTCTGCAAAAGTGGTAACTTTATTAGGTCACTAGAAATGTTTGAAAAATTATTTACACACACACACACACACACACACACACACACACACACACACACACACACACACACACACACACACACACACACACACACACACACATATATATGCATATATACACAGTGTTTCATAAGTTGTGCATGCAATTTTGATTTTAAAATTGTTTGTAATTATCAGTTTATATATCTATACATATACAAAGTTCATCTTAGATATATAAAAAGACATAAATATATAATATATAAAATGCGGTAGTGCTGTAGTGGTAGAGCGCTCGCTTCATAAACGAGTGGTTCCGAGTTCGATCCCCACCACGTCCCTGGTAGTACCGCGCTCAACTCGTTTCTCCGCGCAGCGGCCTTGTTCGTCAAGGTTCGTGTTTCGGAGTTATAGAGTTGAGAGAGGGTTATAGCCACAAAATAAGTAGCCTCCTCGTCTGTAGTGGCCTTCTCGGCCTTGAGGAGGTGAAGTAAAATAAAAAAAACAACAAAAAAACATGCAACTTCATGATCAAATTGAAACATCAAAGAACAATTTGAACTCCTATTGATCAAATAGAAAATTCTAATTGTTTTTTATTTGCTAATGCTGAAAATTTTCCAAAGGTTAGAAGGCAATCCAAAAATTGTTTTACCACTCCAACACTTTATAAAGAAACAGTTCTAAATTTGGTTGACAAGTAGACATGTAGTGTTCATGGTCAAAAAAGATATAGCCACCTGTGTATTATTGTTACAATGGTAGACTAATCCATATTTTTTTGGGCAATTTAGTCACAAGTGATTCAGATTTTAAAATGTGTGGTGAAACAATTTTTTTAATTGCCTACTAAAAATTCTCAGTGTTAAATAAAAAGCAATTTAAATTCTTTATTCGATCAATAGTCATAATCTCATATATTTTTTATGTATGTAAACTTCACTTTGTATATGTATAGATTTAATAATAATTTGTCTATGCATATATAAAGTGAAATTTAGTTTGTCCTTGCCACTTCATTTTTGAAAAAAGTTATAATAAATAATAAAAATATCACTAGGAATCATTAATGTGGGATTTATTTGATCCCAGTTATTTTTCTTTAATATGTATATTAAAGAAAACATGAATGGTACAATATCTTGTTTAGCAGTCATGAATAGAAATTAAACACAAATAAAATTTGAAGTTGCATAATTTATTGTAAAAAACAAGTTACCATTTACAAAGTATTAAAACTAAATAAGAAAATGCACGGTCTTGCTGTTGGAGGCGTATATTGTACCGAAAAAATTATGCATAAAATATGAAATTTTTTTTTATTTGACTTGTTTAAAACTAAAAATTTTTTGGCATATTATTTCACAGGTCAACAGGTAGTGCAATAGAGGATTAAGTAGTTTACCTGACTAATTTCAACCTTAAACCTCTAGGAAATGATGAAATTCAAGCGAAAATAATATATATTTATAGGTGTAATAAATACGAAAATCATAGCGGTAAAAAAAGCGGAGCTATTCCTAGAGATGTGACGCGTTTTTTTGGAAAAAAGACATAGGGGTCCGTTTTTTTGTTTTTTTTGGGAAATATTCAAAAATTCATTGTTTAAGTTACTCAATTTAACTTTAATGGCAATATCTTAATTCATATTTTAATTTCTGATTTAAATAGGACAATAAATACTGAAATTTACTGAATTAATTTTTGTTTTGGTATATTAACACTGTTAAAGGTTAACACGGTTGAAGCAGTTCTGTATAAAAACTACTTTGATAATTTTATCTTCCTCAATTTTATCTTTATAGTTTTTAGTGTATATTGACACAATAAACATTATTTAATTACATATATTATATTTAATAAAATTTAACAACTAATGAATGAAACTTAGCATAATAAAGAGATAAGCGAGAATGAGTTTTTGTTAATGGAACTAGAGATAATAATTATTTTGAGCAGCCACCATGATAGAATTTGTAGAAAAGAGAAAGAGATGCAACTTTATGACAATGGGAAAGAGGCTCAAGCTTAGCAGATAGAGCTTGTTTAGAAGAAAAAGGGCATTATAAAAAGAACCAGCCCAAATATGACAACAACATTCCATACAGGGAAAAAAAGATATTTGTAGAGGTATAGAATGGAATCAAGGGTAAGAAAACGGCGATAATGATAAAGGGATGCTAATTTAGCAATCGATTGTATATTTTGTTTACATGAAAGGTTAGTAGCAAATAATATTCCAAGAAGATTTAAAAAAGAGGACTCAGTAAGAGGGTTACCATTAATTAATATAGGAATGTCAACAGTATTGTGGTAGTTGTTTGCAATAAATAACTGAGTTTTGTAGGAAATAAAATTTATAAGCTAATTTATGTGAGCCCCAATCTGTGAACAGATTAGGGGTCGCATATTTTAAAAGTCTTGTCTTTTTGATCGCTTAGAACAGGCAGCCAATTTTGTATCAACAGATACAAAATTGGCTCCCTGTTCTAAGTGATCAAAAAGAGAAGACTTTTTGTCAAGACAGGAGTAAAAACTTGAGTCATCAGCAAAAAGAGTTACTATAGATGTAGGGTTGTCGGGAAGATCAATAATATAGATAAGAAACAAAACAGGACCAAGAATAGAACCTTGAGATATCCCAGAAGTTACTGGAAATAAATAAGTAGGTCTTGACAATGATTATAATAAAGAAGTTAGAAAGAAATGATTTAATAATCCCAGATACACAATTTGAAGTTTCAAGTCTAATTTAAGTTTAATTGTTCAATATTTAGTTCATACTTAAGCTCATTTTCTATTCAACAGGTCCCTAATATTGTTTAAATGGTCCCTAAAATGTTTTATTAAAAAGTCAACTTATTACTCAAATAAAGAGAAATTTTATATAAATCTTTTCTGAATTAGAATCTAAAAATAGATTAATACAAAAAAAAACCACACCACATTAACAACACTGAGTAGTGATAATATATATATATATATATATATATATATATATATATATATATATATATATATATATATATATATATATATATATATATATATATATATATATATATATATATATATATATATATATATATATATATATATATATATATATATATATATATATATATATATAGAGAGAGAGAGAGAGAGAGAGAGAGAGAGAGAGAGAGAGAGAGAGAGAGAGAGAGAGAGAGAGAGAGAGAGAGAGAGAAAGGATGTCTTTAAATTATTAAGTAAATTTTTTTTTCTTGTTGGTAATCAACAGGAAAAACAAAAGGAATTATGATTAGGCTCTCCAAACAGGGGGGAGAAATAAAGCCTTAGTCACCCATTTATTTAAACCTCTGAACCAAATTAATAAAATGAAAAAAGATAAACAATTCTTTTGCCATAAGATTATGTCTAAAAATTGAACTTAAAAAACAGAGCATATTAAAGAATCTTGCAAGTGTTCTGATATAGTGTTATATAAAAATATCTAGATCAATAAATAATGCAATTGGAAAAAAAAAAATGCTGTTAAAAATTAATTACAAATAAATAAATTACGAATCATCAGGTGAATGGGGTCTGGGAAACTCCATATTTTCCTTGAAATTAAGTTCAGTATAGGGCTTTTATTTTAATATGGGCATACTAGCAATATTTATTTTTTTGATATAACAAACAAACAATGTAAGACTTAATTACTACATAATATACAAATGCTTAATTAAGTTAATAATCTTGATAGATTGCTTATTTTTTTGAGCATTCGAAGTCTGATATTATATTTGCATGGTATTATACATTAATATATTTACATTATCAAAATTAAAATGGTAACTTTTATAGAATAAGAATAGTTTTTATATATAATGAGAGTATCATAGTTGATAGTACAACAAAACAAAAATTTACATTTTCATACAGTATGCCTAGATATATAACTTACTTAAAGCTAATTTAATTTTTTTATAAAAAATTTATGTTAAATTGGTGTTTATACATCTAATTGTCCCTTTAATGGCCAATTACTAAAATTATACTAGAGTAAAGGAAAACTAATCCAAAATTTATGTCAAAAAAAACTGAAAAATTGTTTAAAAAAAGCAATACAACACCAAAAACACCAAAAAAACTAAAAAAAAACGCAAAAAAAAACCAAAAAAACACTCTAGCTATTCCCACAAAATTGCTGCTATGAAAACGGGTCCTGGCAAGTGCAGAATTACTTTTTCAATATCATTTAAAACTAAAGAGTGAGCTAAACTTAAGGGTTATCTAACAAAATAGAAAGATAGTAAGTTGCTATTTCTTTTAAGTTTCTGTATTGGCTTACTTGAAATCCCAAAAGAGTTATCTGTTTCTATGCAAAGTGAAATAATGGACATAGTTAATACACTGTATTTCCTTTCAATTGGTTGGATTTAATTGAAAATATAAAGAATTTAAAAACTCCTACATGTAAAATATTTAATTTCAAAAGTATTATTTAACAATGCAAAATATTATTTTCAAGATTTTGTTTTGAAAATTATGACAGATCACTTCATCACAGTGAAAAAAATTTACAAACGTTTATATAAGTTAGGATTTAAAAAAAAGTATTTAAAAAGCTTCAATTGATTATAAAAAGAAGCAAAAAGCAAATAAATATTTAAGTTTGCTTCTTAAGTTTTCAATTTAAAAAAAGAATCAAAAAGTATTATAATAAGTAAATAATATTTTTTTTTTCAGAAAGTGTTTTCAGATGCATTACTTATTTTTTAAAAATTGTTTGGTAAACTACTCTAAAATGTTTTGGTATAAATGTATCAAATAAGTCAATAGCACACTTTGTTAGAGCTTTGAATTTCTATACTTATCTAATCATATTTCTTTTTTCTATAGTAAGAGTACTGGAAGAATGACATTAACTAAATTACTTTTTACCATCCCTCTGTGCAACGCAAAAGAGAACTGGTAGAATGACATTAACTAAATTACTATTTAACATCCCTCTGTGTGAGGCAAAGCTAAAGAAAAGTCAAGTAAATAAATGTTTAAAGTTAAATTAAGTTAAAACCCACTTTATATGCTTCTTGTTGACTCAAAGATAAGAATATTAGTTTAGAATAGCCAAATCTGGTCCTCCTGCAATAAAGTTTGCCATTATTCCAGCAATAGAAATTTGGCTATTGAACAAATAACATTGCATCTTTTTTTAGTTAATATCATTTGTTGTTGTTGTTTTACTATTTAATTATGTTGTTGTTGTTTTACTATTTACATTTAATATATATTTTTTATTTTTATCTCTGTTTAAGCTATATTTCTTCCTCTAATGCACACCTATTTCAAGGCTAATTGTTGTTGCCATTGAATTGTATATCCACAAGCAATCATGTGTAAAGTTGTAAATATTTTTTTGCATCCAATTTTTTGGCTTAGCCTAAACAGTGAAATAAAGGTGTTTTGCAAAACATATTTTAAAGCAAAGTTATTAAAGTTAATCAAGGAAAATGAGTATGGTTTTAATTCATTGTCCTAGATAAAAACAATTCAAAATAAGGTTTTACATTTTCTGCATTAAAATCTGTTGAGAAGTGTTATTGTTTTTTAAATTTTAATATTTTAACTTTTATTTTAGCTTATAATTATAATAAGAATAAAATTATAAAAATTTTTAGTCCATAAAAACTTTATTCATGCCTAAAATTTATATTAATTAAATTTTTTAATATATAAATATTTTAACATTTTTAAATTTTTGTACTTTCATCAAGATGCGCAAATTGTTTCGAGTGTCCAAGTTGCAGTCACACACTGTCTGTCAGAGCAACAGCACTGGTTGGAACTGATGAAAGCTCTACAACTGATCCAGGAAATCCATCAAGCACTAAAAAGTATCATTATTTAAATTGCAGCTTTTGTCGTTGGACAACACGAGATGTTGGTTTGATCGATCACTCTGCTCGTTAGTAAATTTCAGTCTAATTTTTTTATTTATTATTATTAGTGTTTTTTTTTTGTCTGTTTTTTATTACAACTGTTTCTTTATCTTTTGTGTATTTGTTTTTTGTTACAATTTTTTCTTTATCTTTTGTGTTTTTATTTTTTATTATGATTGTTTCTATATTTTTTGTGTATTTGTTTTTTATTATGATTGTTTTTATATTTTTTGTGTTATTAGTTTTTTATTGATATTATATAATCCAAAAAGGAAACAAATGGTCATACAATACAAAAAGGTTTAACAAAGTAAGAAATAAAACTAAAATTCAAAATTTTACCTTGGTAAAAAATGCAATTCACATGCAAAATTTTTTTATCAGTTAACATGTTTTTGGACTGTTTATTATTTTATTTAGAAGTTATTCAATTGTATGTACATCATTGCTAAAATAATAGCAATTATGTACATTAAATAAAAAAAAATTAAAATTAAAATTGTTCATAAAAAATGTAATTTTGGTTTATCATAAAAATAACAAATACTAAAAATCAAAAACAAAACTGAAATCTACTAAAGAAGAATTAGCTGATAAATATCTGCTTAACAGTAGTTAGAATTGGCGGTTAAACAATTAGTTTGTATGTGAGGCTTAACAATAGCTTTCAACATAACTGATTGTTATTTGATTGTGTGTCTATGGAGACTCATTGTGCACTTTTTGTCGAGAACCACCTTACTTGATGTCTTAAAAAATAATTTTTTGCTTTTATATTGTTATAAAATATAGACTATTTTTAATTAGACTAATTTCTTTTATCTTTCTCTTGATATCAATTTCAAGATTAATTTTTATTCAATGTACGTTTTTGCTGATAAAGATGAATGGTGGAATCACCAAATATGTTCAGATTTTGTGTGTGAGTAAATTTGAAACAAGACATAAACTATATTTTCTTTTCCAAATTCATTTTTATTTACTTATTATATACCTTATTAAAAGTGCATTGAGGCTGCAGTTCTTTTACTTGATCATAAGTGACAAAATGTTAGACGAAATAGACTTAGACGAAATAGACAATATTTTACAACTGTTTGGCATTTTTGAAAAGAAAGCAATTTAAATACATTAAGTAATTCAGTTACTGCTATTTGACATTAGGGTGGTGCGTAATATTGTTGATTTAGATGTATGGTTTTTTTGCCATTCTTTATTTAAAACTAGATGCATTAGAACACTGCCTAAAGCTGTTATACCAAATACAAACAGATTCATTCATGGTCTAATCAGTACTTAATGATTTAAAAAACTTTAAAATAAGCTTTGTGTGAAAAAGAAATACACTTATAATAAAAATACTTTTTGATTCTTCTATTTGGTATGTTGGTAGTGTTGGTAAATTTCAAAAGAGTGAAAGGCAATATGATCTGCAGTTTGTTAGGCAGAAGACCAAGAAAATAAATATTATTGTAGTTCAATATAGTCCTCAGCATTAATAAACATGTTGATGCTAAAAAAATGATTCTAATAAAGTTAAAAAGGTTCGTTATAAACTAATAATCTCATTATTGCCAGATAAACACTTTTACAATGTGGAAGGTGTAACTGGCTTGGTAATATTACAAGGGGGAAATAATCTCCAGAATGAGGAATAAATAAATATTCAAGAATGTTTCCTATGGTTTCTATGGTTTGGTAGAAGGTTTGAAGTTCAGTCAATATATTGTAATATGTTAAGAAATTGTAATATTTGTACTTTGCTTTTTTAACACAATTTTTTGCCCCTATAACCATGCATTATATTAAAAACAAAATTTATATAAAGGGCTAGCAGCATGCTGGGTAGAGCAACATATGTTACTTAGATCTTAAATACAACATCCTTACAGAAAAATATCTTCATGCATTAGATATATCATATGTTTAAATTATGTAAGTTGACCCCAAAATGGACCAACTGATTATGAAACTATTAGGAAAGAAGACAAGTTGAAGTTATATTTAACTATATTAGTTATAAGTAACCATATTAATTGATAATTAATATTACTTATATTGATACTGTTATGTCAAAAAAGAACAAAGGTTGTTTTGAATAATGAATAACTTTTTAATAATGTACTCAAATTTTTGGAAATACTTTTTTCATTTAAAAGTCGTTTTAAGCTATTCAAGAAATTAATGTAATAGAAATGGTTTAAAAAAAATAGTTACGCCTTAAAAATGGTATGCGCTGAAGAGAAGAAAAAAAGAAGAAAGATTTTTAAATTTCATAATAAACAAACATATTTGTTTAACATATTTGATCATGTTTATACTTGTAATGTTAACTACTTTAATGTTCTCATCATTTTATTTGATTATTTTTTTAGTTTTAAAGACTAGTAAAAGATTTTTTTTTTAAGCTAGTGGAGGTTGGGTTGATGTTGAACTTCCTTTTGCAAAAAACTTGCAGCTACTATTAGATAATTATAAAAAATTAGCCCATCAAGACAAAATTGAAAAAGAGAGACAAAAAATTTCTAAACGAAGAACAAATTTATATTTAATGGTAAGTTTCATTATGATACATTTAAATAGTGATTTTCTTGCCTAATGTTGTTTAATGGTGATTTTTTTGTTTGTTTCCATATCTTAATGTTGTTCAAAGGTGAGTTTTTTTTTTGCGTCCATATCTTGATGTTGTTTAATAGTGAATTTTTTTTTGCTTCCATATCTTAATGGACAATGATGCATTGTTATCAATACCTTGTAAAAATTCTTTGATTAGGATCGATATGGCTATGCCCTTTCTCTTGGTAAAAAGAGGACAACTAGCATGGGTTCACCATCAAGTTCACCTTTGGCAAGGTCTAGGTATATGTAACCTTTGAAATCTGTTAAGTAAATTAAAATTATTTTAATTGAAGTCTGTTTGAAAGATAAGTCTTTTTTTTAAAACTGTTCTGATTAAATCTTTTCAAATTTTTTTTTTTTATTTAGTCTAAACTCCTCTATACATAAAGAAGCTGTTCCATTATTTTCAGAATCATTGACTGACATTCCGCCTATTGATGATTCATATTACACCAACCCTGTTTCTTTGGAGACTGGTAATTAAGTTATATACTGTGTTTATTACAACCATATATACTAACTGTAAAAACATTTATTTCAAGCAAGTTGAAAGTTGCTTATCTAATTTTGTTTTTTTAAAAAAATATTCAACTGAAATGTTTAATTAAGTAATAGATCCAACTAACAGTGAAACATAAAGTGAATTAATTTTAAAAACTAATTAAAAAAAAAAGAATTTTGTAATAAATGTTAGAGTTCTAAATTGTAAATATAAAAAAAGGAAATAGAAAATATAAAAGAAAGGAAATATAAATAAAAAGGAAGAGAAATAGCAAATATATATGAAGAAAAAAAGTAAGTATATAATATATATTTACTAATTATCATATATTATATGAAGAGAATTAGTAAATATAAAACAAAAGAAAAAGTAAATATAAAATATTGAAATTATGAAATTGACATGTAGTAGAAGATTGTTTTCATTGGCTTGTAGTCGGAGATCGTTTCTATTTTGCTAGTTGTGGTAAGGAAAGACTAATGCAGCCTCCCAATACCTAAAATAAAAAAAATTTAAACAATTAGTACTTTGTCCAACCGATTTGTAATTTAATTTATAAGTGCTAGTTATACTTAACTTTACACAAAAGATTCATTCATTTAATAACATTCATTCATCTAATAAACAAGCTTTAGTTATCAATAAATTATAACAATAATAATTAACTTTAGACTTGACTTAAATAACCTTAGTTAAGCCTAGAATAAACCTTAGTTAAGCATAGAATAAACCTTAGTTAAGCCTAGAATTACCTCTATAAAAATTCTATTCAGTTATAAAGAAAATTTAAAAGAAAAAATAGTTTAAAAACAATGATCTATTTATAACCTTTTTACCACTTTGACAAGCAGTATTGCAAAAATATATTACCTGACCTTTCTAAACTGCACTAAATCTCATAGCAACAAACTTTACTTACTTACAGTTTTTTTTTTATTACTGCTATTAGTTAAATGGACATTTTTGCAGATGTGCATCATCAACCAGGAGCATCAACTTTACTTCCGAAATGAATGTTTTGTTAAGATACATATAGTTAAACATACTGAGTTGTTAAAATTTAACATATTATCTAAATATATAACGAAAAATAACCAACCAAACACAAGTAAATAAACCAAATATACAATTAATCAACCTAACATATATAAAAGACAACACAAAAGTAAGCTATATATACAAGCTAAGTCATTTAGTATTCTTAAAAATATAAAACCCTATTTTCATTTTATCTAAGTTTATACAATCACTTATCTATTTTGATTGGTCTAGCGAAATAAAAAAAATGTAAAGCCCATCAAAAACTAAAAATAAGAATATAATTCAAAAGTAATTGCATCATAATTTTTTATAGGATGTTGTTCTTGTTTCTTATTGGATGTTGTTCTTGTTTCCTACTGAATGTTGTTCTTGGCAAGTTATAGCATTGGCTGCTATGATCTTCCAAGGAGAAAAAATTAATAAATGATTGATATACTAAACTAGCCAATAATTTAATTTTAATTGTCTATATAGGAAAATTCATTACTAAAGTATAAGCTAAAATATAAATTGTACAAATTATATAAAAAAAAGACAATATATAATAAAAATTCATAAAAAAATTGACATATCAACCATAAAAAACAAGTTTTTTGCTTATATTTTGTTAGCTTTGGTTGAGTTTAGTTACTAAATAAACTAAATCATTATTATAAAAGTTAACTTTGCTATGTAATTTACTATTCATAATTGTATATAAACCATATTATACCTAATATAGTTCATAACTATATAGTTAATAGTTTATAATTTATAGTTGAAAAATGCATAAAAGCACAAAGCATCATTAGCATCAGGTTATTACATTCTATCAGAATGTAAACTTTTATGTCATTACAGTGTGTTACAATGTTGTATGATTTAAAATAAAAGTGGCTGAGCTAAAAAAAAAAAAGTAATAATAAAAAAATAATAGTAATAATAATAAAATATTAGAAAAAGCTATAAATAGTTATAAAGCTATGATTAATTTTAACTACTATAAAACTTAAATTCCGCGTGTTTAAAGAACTTGTAGTAACTACATAAAATGTAGTTACTGCAGATACTACAGTTTTTTGACCCAGTTAAAAAAAAGTATCTCATTACTAATGTTGTAGAATATTTGCTACCGTTAATGTTATAAAAAAAAGAAATAAAAAAGAAGACATAATTTTAAAGCGGTGAGTTTTATTAGTTTAAAAATTGTAAAATTTTTAAACTAATAAAACTCATAAAAATTTTTTTTTTTTTTTTTAATTTCATTGTTAAAAACTCTGTTTAAAAGCACACAAGGGAACAATAGTCAATCAAATAAACAAGGTTTTAAGTTATTAATATATATATTTAGGTTGAATTTCCGGGAAATGAAAATATCACTAAAACTTGGCTTTGTTACAGAAATAAAGCATATATATAATTTTATTTGCTTTTTTATTGGAAAAAAAATGATCAGGCCAATGGTACCAAGTTGGAGTTTACTTATGACTAATACATGTATGTTTTGTCACCATACTTATTACTATATATTATATAGAATTTTAAAAATTGTTAGTCATTATAGCCCTATCTCAAAGTGCCGAAGCAAGTTGTGTTTATATTAATGAGAATGTTTAAAAAAATGTTTGGGCTGAATTTTCTTAAGTAAAACAAACTAATAAACTTATACCAAGAAAAACTAACTGTAATTTTACTCAATGCTCGTAGTCTTCATGTTAGTGTGTGTTATTAAGTTTAAAATAAATGCCGCAATCTACTATAATTTATTCAAGCGCGTTCAAATCCAAAGAGTTTCAGCATTAAAAATGACATCATTGTAAGATTTTTTTTTTTGAAAAATCAATTTGTTTTTTTTTTAACCAATATTATTTGATTTTGTTTTATTTGTTTTTTTAAACACGTGTTTATCATCAATCATATGACTTTCCTATAAGTTTTATAGGAAGTTCAACAAATGAATGTTTTTTTAAATAGCGCGAAAACCAAAAAAAGTTTAGATTTTTATGATAATTATATACAGGGAATTATGGTATATATTAATAAATTATTAATATACAGGGAATTATGGTATATATTAATAAATTATTAATATACAGGGAATTATGGTATATATTAATAAATTATTAATATACAGGGAATTATGGTATATATTAATAAATTATTAATATACAGGGAATTATGGTATATATTAATGAATTATTAATATACAGGGAATTATGGTATATATTAATAAATTATTAATATGAATAATCTTATTGTTTCAATAAATAAACAAAATAAATAAAAAATTTACTTTGTTACTTTGGTTACTATGTTAACCATTGGCAATGAATAAATACTAATAATGATTATGAATAAAGACTAAGTATTATGTTTATTTTTGATTTTTATGTTTTTAGTGTTAAATTTAAATCAATCATTACAAACCCCGGGTACTCAACCACACTATGCAAAACAGTTGTACCCTAAACAAAAGCATTTGATGGTTCGAAGGTCTCAAAGATGCAAGGTTTGTAAAAAAAAAAAAAAATATTTGAGTAATGATATTTTTTGTTTTTAATGATTCTTTATTTATTTAGGAGTGTGAACATAATTTGTGTAAGCCAGAGTTTAATCCTTCTTCAATAAAGTTTAAAATTCAACTTGGTGGAATGTAAGTTTTTTTAAAAATAATAATGTAAGTTCTTAAAGGTCATGTATTTCTTATAAAAAATCCGAAGTATGCATGTACTCCTAACAGAAAGAAAGAAATTATGCATAGATTTCTGACATTTACAAATCTGAAAATGTCAGAAATCTATGATATTTTTTTCAAAACAACTTTCAAGTAAAAACCTTCAAATTTTTTTTTCTTTTTTGCAATTATTCAATTTAGTGAATTTTAAAAATTCATAAGTCAATGAGTTGATGCTTTTGAAGCATCAGTAAATCATGCTGATAATTTTATCAGCATAATTTATTCAATTGTACTTATTTAATTTAATATTTTTTCAATTTAACTATATTAAGTGTTGAGTAAATCCAATATGACCATTATGCCTCTAAATTTTTGAATTTATTGAGAATATTGAGCACAAAAGTGTGCCCCTATCATCCCCTTCTATTATCAGCTGATATTTTTTAAATTATTTTGAGTTATACTGTAAACTGTTACAGTTTAAATCAAAACTATTTGTCCTGCCTAAAATGATGAATGGTAAGGTTTTTAGAGTATTAATATTGCTATATATGATATTATTATAAAAATGTAAGGGTTATCTGTCTGTCTGCCTGTCTGCGGACATTTTCTTAATTTACTGTATACTTAAATACTATAATGTAAAAAATGAATTTTGTTTTCAGTTGATTGTTAAAGGATCTTGGCAAAAAAAAAAAGTTATTTATTAACAATTTATGATCATTTTAGTGTAAATAAAGTTTTATTTTTAAAAAAATTGCCACCAATTTTAATTTATTTTTATTTGTGTTACTAAGTTATGCAAATTTCCATTACATAATCAATATTCAAATTTTTTTATTGGTTTTGTTCAAATACGATTTTGTGAATTTGCTATGCAAGAATACAGTTTGATTTGTTAAGTATTTGGTTTTTTAAGCATTTGTTTATAAATAATATTTATTAATATTATTAAAGTTTAAAAATATTTTATTATATTTAATAACAATCGATTTTATTAACAGAAACATTATTAATAATATTTATTAATTGATTTGTTAATTATTTAGGAAAAAAATCCAATGATTTAATATGTAAGAGTAGCAGAAAGATATATCACAAAAATCAGCACCTTAGTTTATGCAATCTTCACTCTGTCTTTTCTGAATTACAAACTTCTATTTTTACCCAAAACAAGTTAAACCATATTGCAGTTGAACTTTTTACTCAAGAAAAGACATTTTACTATACTAAAAAATTCAAGCAAAAACCATGACTACCAGTCTGGAAACTATTCAGTTGATGTGATCAATGAAACCTAAATCTCCAAGAACATTTAAATGAACATAATTGGTGTTTCCTATTTATCAAAATGGTTATATGATCAAATGCTGAAATTACTGGATCAACCTTTAGAAAATTGGCAACCAATGGTTTAGTTTTGACTTCAAACTTCATCAATCAAAACCGATAGATAATTTTTTTCTTAAAGAATATGTAAGTAAGGGTTTGTCTGGCCCAACTTATGTACTCATACTGCAAGGTGATCTTGAAGCTTTTACAATTAAATCCTATAAAAAAGCTAAAAAGACTAAACATCTGCAAAGAAGAATACAAAACAAAGACAGCAAGTTAAAGATGAAGATTGTTATGCAAAAGACCGTAAAGAAGGCAAAATGGAGACAGATGAAAGGTGAGTCAAAAATGCAGATTGCCAGACTAAAATCTAAGAAGATTAAAGACTAAGAAAAGATAGATAAAAGGCAAGTCAAAGATGCAGATTGTGATGAAAAATACCCTAGAGGAATGAATGAAGATGAAGATGAGTCAAAAAAAGGCAGTTTCAGAACAAGAAAAAAGGAAAAGAACCTATTTAATTGCAACAATGCTAATATGCTAATAGCATGGTAATAAATTTGCTTATTTGACCAGGTCTATTTAAATTGCAAAGCATAACTCTTTTAAAGTTGAAAGGGGATCCTGAACCTATACCAGAATTGTTAAAAGCACTTACTGTCAAAAACGATCCCTAATCAAACAAGTTCCCTCTGCAATTCCGTAACTATAATAACAGGGCCCTTGCATTTATATATTTTTACATAATTTGAATTATAATTTAAACAACATAGTATTTTGACTACTACTCTTGAAGTTGGTTTTAAGAACTTTTAACTGGGCATTTACTTATATATTAAGTCACTTTTGTCATAAAATCTGTATGTATGTATGTATGTATTTATGTATGTGTATGTATGTATAAAATTAGGCAGTTTTTTCAAAAAAAGAAAAAAATTTAGTAATGAAAAAACAAAAATAATTTGTAGCCACCCAAACCTTTTGTCAGAAGATTTCTGTCGCCACAGTATTTAATTATTATTTTAATATTATTGTGTAAATATTTATTTTTTACTGTTTATTAATTGTAAACTTATATAAATGTACTTATATTTAGGCAGTATTGTCCCATCCTTCAAATTCACAAGAATTTTCACAATACACATCTTTATCATGATGAAGTAAGTTTATATTTTTATATTTTGCAACTAGAGCAAGTAACTTAAGTCATTAGTGGAACAGAAATAAGTGAATAGTGTTGTAACCATGTGAACCAGTTGTAGTGTAAGTTACATAGTTATAACAGATGACTGATGTTCACGGTAACAGCAGATACTTAAAAGAAAATAGTAATTAATTTGTCCATTGAGTCCAGTTGTTAATAGTAATAAACATAATAATAAACAAACATACATATATATATATATACATAGGGACTTATGGGTGAACTAGCACTGCGCCAGTTGTTAGCTAGGACAGAATTAAAATTAAAAAATCCACTCACTAAACATTATCCACAGTGAAGCAGTTCCATTTCCTCTTCATAAATTATATTTAGCTTTTTAGTTTACCACAAAAGCTTTTGAATATTTTGAATATTTTGGTGCAGTTAAAACTTACTTTTAGTTTGCAAAATAAAAAATAATATTTCATAAAAAATAATAATTCACTTAAAAATGAAATATGTTGCTTATATAATAATTTATAATATAATTTATATTATAATAAACTGAACGACTTTAGTAAATTATAAATTTATTAAATATATACATATCCTGCAAATGTTGAATTGGTTTTAGTACAATATAAATTTATTAAATAAACAATAAGGCTGCAGTTTAGATAATGATCATTAAAGAACACTGATTCAGGGGTCTGGCACACTGCTAAAATAAAGGAATATTTTAACATTTCCATTGCAACTGAATGATTTAATTTTTTTTTATCTCTTGTTCATCATACTGCAAAAAATTGTTTAAAATATGTTTTTTAAAACTTTACCTAAACAAAGCATGAAATCGTTTTTAAAAAAGACTTTTTCATTTATTAAATAATTCAACTAGCATTTTTTAAATTAGAATTTTGAGTAAAAAACAAAACTATATAAATAAAATAAAATTTAGGTCAAGGTTGTTATTTTATATAAAAGATAGTCATTTATTTTATAAAAACATAAAATATCTAAGCTTTGAAGTAATGTAATTCTTAAGGTAATTTATTTAAATTTTTTTGTACAATTTTGAGCTATGTTTTACTTAAGTTGTATTTTTTTATGTTTTTTTTTTTAGTTAGGATTTCTTTTTCTTTTTTTTTTTGTAATTGTCAAGTTTTGGTTTTTTTGTTGTGCTTTTTTGAGATGTTCTCAAAACATCAGACTTGATCTGGAATAGCAATCACACGCTATTCCTGACCAAGTCTGCATACATACATACATACATACATACTTACATAAATATATACATACGCATATATATATGCACATCCTTGTTTGGATACCATGCATAGATAGTATATAGAACATAGGTAAAGTAAGCTATGCATATAAAGCTGATCTAGCTCAGTAAGCAAGTGAAGTAATATAAAACTTGAATAAAAATACATAAACCATAGTGAGACAGGAATAATCATCAGAAACATGCTGAGTGTATTGACACAAATTGGTGTCATAAGTTCAAATATAGCTGCAGAAGATTTAAAATTGTTTGTTGTAATCAACTTCCTTCTCCACAGCATATATACAAATATAGCTGGTTTTAGCTTCACAAACTATTCTTATATGAATTCCGTATTTTGTCTTTTTTGAAACATTATAAGCTTTGAAGGATAGGCGACCTCTCCATGGCATAATGCTTTCATCTACAGATAATTCTTGCTGCTGTTTGTAAACTTTTTGTTATTATAGATCATTTTCCTGTCAGAAGAGCTGAGTATGTAACTGTTACTGAATGTGAAATATTTTTGCATTTTGCTCAAATACTTTTTGGTCTTTGACCATAAAGTAGCAGAGAGATTATGTTTAGTTTAGGTGAATATTAAAAAAAAGTATTTGGAAGCTCTTCCTAAAAGTAAGCAACTAAAATGTATAAGTTATCAAATTGTCTTAGAGGGAACTAAAAATGAATTAACTTTTACCCAGTTGAACTTTTTTGTTTACATGGTTTGTTTGTGACATATTAGACAGATACCCAAATGATTCCATTTCTCTTTAGTGAAATTTTTTACTGCTAAAAGCTTAATGGATTTAATAGTCAAACGAGATGTTTTAAGCATCATTGTCAATGGGAGGCAACTTCTTCAATTTGATTTCACTAAAAAGGAGAATTTTCTACTATTAAAATCAAGGACAGTTGGATTTGCTGTAGAACGTAACAAGAAATTGAGGAGAAAGGATATGTTGTCTCATGATGTGGTCAATAGGTTCATAAAAAATTGTTGGCTTTGGCTATCATTGGAATTAAAATTAAATTGAAAAAATATTTGAAAGAAGTATAAATCATTCTTATTTTCTGGAAGCAACTAGTTGCATCTGTCCAGATTCAATCTTATCAAGGAAAAAGATTTTCAACAGATGAAATCTGTACTTCATCTAATTCTTTCCTGCTCTACAAATGAAGTGTTCTTGCTTTTACACAATTCTCAAAGTTGTTAGAAGAAAATTCATCTGATCTTTTAGCAGCATTTTAAAAACTTTTACACTGGAAATCATATAGACAAATTTAATTTAAAATCATTGAATCAAATGTAAAATACAAGGATTTGTCGAAAGTATTGATACTCATTTTAGGTTAGGTCATGGTCAAGCATCAGTTGAGAGAGACTTCAGTATAAACAGTAGTATTCTTAATGAAAACATGAAAGAAAATTCACTCTTCTCTTTTGAACTATTAAGGATTTTATGGTATCTAACAAATTAAAGGCTCATCAAGTAGAAATCAACAATGAAATGATAAAGGCTGTTTGTAATGCCTCGTTGAAATATAAAATCTATCTAGAGGAAAATAGAAAGTTGCAAAACAAAAGAAAAAGAAAACAATGTGATAATACTGTTGAATCAAATAATATCTTAAGGAGCAAAAAAAAAGTTTTTAGGGAAGTATTTTATTTTAGTAAATGTAAAATTGTTACATTTACTAAAATAGCTGGCTATCAGACGATATGTCACAAATGAAACTGTTTAAATTGTTTAAAATTATTGTTTTTTAATGTAAAACAGAAATAGAGAAATTCCTTGTATATGGAGAGACATATTTTGACATTCCAGATATTTTTCATTCCAGATTTGACATTCCTATAAATTTTCCAGATTTTCCTATAGATATAGATTTTTGATTAAGTTATACCCATCTAAATAACCCATCTTTTGATAACACACCAAACACAGTTGCCCTCAACAAATTCAAGATCGATAAAAATGTCAGCGAAAACTGTTTCCTGACGGATAAAAATGTCAATGAAAACTCTTTCCTGATCCTTTAAGAACTTTTTTTTTACATCACAAATCTATTGAAACTAAAATCCTAGCTGCTTATCCAAGATTTTTAAATGACTTTCAAATTGACTATTTTTTTTTTGATAGGATAACAAGATTATTTGTGTATATTTCTGGTTTTTAATTAAAATAATTTTGTATTACTAAATAGATAAGAACTCTATTAAACTAAATTAATAAAATTTTGAGCTTTTATCAAGTAATTATAAACGGAAATGACCACAAATGTGAGACGTAAAAACTATGATATTATTTATGCATATAAGAATAGTCTTTATCTTTGACATCTTTTTTATTTTTTGGGAAGTTATGAACTAGTTCTTTATAAATAAGTATTGAGTATTATACTTAAGATATGCCCAATAAATCAGCAAATCATGATAAATCTAGAGTGAAAGTGTGTGCACCATGTGGGAAAAAAATAATTTCGAAAAAAAAAAAGTCTCAGCAGTTTGCAATTACAGAAAAGATAGCTGAACAAATTAAAATGAATATAAATTTAGTATTTGACATAGCAAACAGCAAATATCCTCTTAGTATATGTGGTACCTGCAGAATAACACTGAATGAGCGAGACAAAGATATTGAAAATAAAAAGTTGCCTAAAATGCCAAACTATTAAGACGTATTATTGATAAAAGAAACTAGAACTAAAGGAGATAGGCAATATACATATAATAATAAACAAAGAGAGTGATATTTCTATTCAAAATTTATAGGTAATGAAGGTGCAAGTTCAATAATCATTTGTTCATATTGCAAATCAGAAATTGGAAAAGAACTGTCCCATTATTGCAAGCAAACAAAATCAGCAGAAAATATTGAAATTTTTTTAAACAAAACCTTACTTGAAAAAGAAAAAGACCAGTTAATAAAATCATTCCTTAAACTAAGGCAGATAATCAAAAAGATTCAAGTAAAAAAAATATTTGCTTAAAACATTATTCAAAAGGCAGATGCAAATCACAAATTGTTTTAAAACCTGATATAGCCAAAAAAGTCAACTTTTCAAGCGAAGGCTTAAATAACTTTCAGGTTAATACTAGAGTATCTTCAAATGTGATGAAAAATTTTACTACTTTTAAAAGATCTGACATAGATAAAAAGACTGTTCCTGTATATCACAGAGAGCAGGCATCAGAAAAATCTAAATCTTTGAAAAGTTTATATCAGGTTACACAAGATATGTTTGATGTAGAAGGTGAATCTAAAGAGAAAGCAAAGAGATCAGTTTTTTGGGCAGATTCACAAGATATTGTGGATGCCGTGATGATAGCTAGAGAGATTAATGAAAAAGTATACATTAAGGTATCATTGTGTTTTATATTTACATTAAAATTTAATTTGTAATAAGTAATAAATTTTCAGAAGTAAATCTGCTTAATTTAGGTAATGGCTGACGGAGGAGGGCTTTCTGAAAATCAGTGAAACAATTTTACCAGAAAGTTATCACCCAGAGCTAAATCATGAATTAACCGAGGATAACACTGAAGAGTTCAAAAAGTTAGAGGAACTAAGCCTTTCTAACAAAAAAAGATCCTTGTATTCTGAAGGGGGTACAGCTAGCAAAAAAGGAAAGTTAACAGTTGTTCACAGATTAATAATGCTTTGTATAGTACCTCAAATTAAAAAATCTTATGAAAATATGAAACTGCTGTTTAATCTAATTAGGTTATTCCTTTTGATTTTGTATCTGACTTTAAATTAAATTTGGTTATGAATGGTCTGCAGACAGCCACTTCAACAAATTCTTGTCCATATTGCTATGTTAAATTACGGCCACTCCGAGGATTAATTACACAGGAGGAAGAAAATATATGTGATGTAAACTGCAATTTAGATAATTCTTTGAAATCTTTGAATAATAGATTTGTAGGTTAGCAAACATATGGTGATCTGCGAAAATGCTACGACAGGTAAAACTTAACAACATGTTTTAAATAATTTTCTGTTATCAATGTACTATCACCTGTTTAATAAACGTATAATATATATCTTTAATATATATTTTATTAGGTTTCAGCTATTAGGAGTAATAAAAAAAAGAGATGCCCCAAACACTATGAGCACAGTGAACCTTCCATATTTTAACAAACCAGATATTAGTATATATTAGTTATAGCTAAATGCCCTCTTTCTGAAATACATTTAATAGAAGGGCTCGTCAATCATGTCTTTTGGAAGGGAATTTTGCCACTTTTAGGCAGAGAAAAAAACATGCAATGGCCTTTAAAGTTGAAACTGATTTCAAAAAATTACCAGGTAAGAATTTGATAAAAAATTTAGAGACAATTTTTACTAATTACATCAAAATTAATTAATTCGTATTTTTTGTCTAGGGTGAGGTTTTTGAAGGCGATGCATGTTGTAAGCTACTTCAACATGCAGATAAACTTCTTAAAGCTGATGTCCTTGGTAAAGTTAGCCTGTTGTTGTTGTTGCCTTTAGTTTCATTGCTAAAAGCAATGGACAATGTTGTCAAATGTTGTTTTGGAACTGGAAAGGTTTCTCACAATTTATCTCATTACCTGCAAGTTTTGAAAACAATGTTTTTAGTAACAGATTTATCTGAAACTCTAAAAATGCACGTAATTCTTGAACAATGCCTTTGTGAACTAAAATCAGATTATGGACTTGTATCTGAACAAACTGGAGAGGCAATCCATAGGGAATTTTTGAAGTATTGGTCACAATATCAAATTAATATAATCACTGATGTGTTGTATGGAGAGTGGTTGGTGAAAGCTGTTGTGGAATTTAGTTCTAGACATTTATAACACTTTTATTTTCTATTTATTTTAGTTTTATTTGTTTAAATCCCGTTTTTTTTAACATTATTTATGAAAATATTGGTTAAAACAATTTGTAACTTCTTTTGATTCTAATTCACTCAGCAACTGCTAAAACGGATTTAAAGTATGCAAAGGCGTGGTTTTATTGCGTGTTGTAGATTTTTAAAATATTGTATTGTAGACTTTTAAAAATATTGCAGATAGCTGAAGTAATTTATAACTAATAACATTATTATAACTCAATGTTTTTTCACCATATGCCAGATGAAAAGATATGTTTTGAAATAATGACTAAAATTAAAGTTAGTTAAAAATCATAGACGAGCAGCTAAGATTTTAATTTCAACAGATTTGTGATCTACATAAAAAGCTCTAAAAGGATCTGCAAACAGTTTTCGTTGACATTTTCATTGATCTTGAATTTGTTGAGGGCCAGTGTGCAAAAATGAATAATTCATTCTCCCAAAAAAGTCTATCTTGGTAGAAATCTTTATTTATTTTTGTTTTATTTGTTTCTTTTATTATTTGAGCAGTTTCTGTGAAATCCATCATTTTATTTAAAACTAAGCCAAACACTAAATTGCTGTGTTTCGTTGCCCCCCCCTCTCCTCCCACCTTTTTATGTTTTATTTTGGCATCAAAAATGTCAATATTTTATAATATTTTATAGGAAAATGAAGTTATTTTATCTGTTACAAATCCACTTGATACAGTTATGAATGTCTCATTCACTAAAACAGTCAATGAAGATTTGGCAAAAGCTACTGGTTTGGTAATTATTTTTTTAAATAATATTCAAGGTGGAAAATACTTGTTAGTCAATGGCTAATATTTGGTTAGAGTCAGAGAAACTGTTGCTTTAACCTTTCCTGATGATAAACAGTTAAAGTTGTTGAAAATCTGATCTAATTGACGAATATTTTTAGCATGATATTGACATAGTATTCTTTATAAAATAGTAAGCTTCCAGTAAACTTCAATCAAATTATTTCAAAATTTAGCGAACTTCCTGTTAATTTCCCAGCAAACATCCAGTGAATTTGTCCCAAAGCTATTGATTTAACTTTGATACATTACATTATAATTGTTTACTATATTATTTACTTAATTATTTTCAATTATTAAATAAACTTTAAATTTTACTAAAAGAATTAACTGTAAAAGTTATCATCAACTGATCAATGAGTTTCATTTTAATGACATGTCAAGTCGTTAAAAATTAATAGCATGACATGATTGTTATTGTTATTATTGTTATGTGTTATGTTATTATTGCTTTTAAAAATAAAACATATTCAGATTTAAATACAACAAAAAAAGTACAGAAAATATTAGCCTACTGTTAGTTATATGAAATGACATCTAAAAGAAAAATTTAACTTATAATATATATATATATATATATATATATATATATATATATATATATATATATATATATATATATATATATATATATATATATATATATACAGTGGGCAAAATAATTGTCCGTACATTAATGAAAAATAAGATTTTTTTAAAAAAGCTCTAAAACTTTAAATGATAGAAAAAAATAAATTAAACCAATAGATAGCGCACAAGAAAACAAATAAAAACAATACACCATCTTTAATTTTCTCCCGACAATTTAAATTATAATTAACTTATTTAAAAGTTTTAAAAATGTTAAAACCAAAAAATTGTCCGAACATTTGATTTAAAAGGTAAAATTTTGTTTATAAATGATTTTTATATTAATATTTTGTACTTTTAGGTTAAATAATACTATAATAAATAAAAGTAAACCTTTTCTTATCTACGTGGCTATGATGGAGGGTAAAAGAAAAGAATATACTATTGACTTACGTAAACGAGTAATTTTTAATAGGGAAAATGGATTATCAATTAGAAAAGTTGCTAAAATGTTGAAAATACCACCAAGCTCTGTTTAATATATATGGGAAAAGTATTTAAAAACAAAATCAGTGGCAAATAATGGTGTACCAGGCAGAAAAAGATCAACAACGCCAAGAGTTGACAGGTGCATAGTTGGGAAAATCGATCAGAATAGAATAAAAAATGCCGTAGAAGTATCAAAAGAGCTGGAAAATGAATTAAATATTAAAGTATCGCCACAAACAATTAGGAACAGACTGCATGAAGCCAATATTTTTGCACGGAAGCCTCTGAGAAAACCATTCATCAGCATTGTGAACAAGAGAAAACACTTGCAGTGGGCAAAGGAACATGTTCTGAAGGATGATACATTCTGGAATATGACTATTTGGTCAGACGAGAGTAAGTTTAATTTAAATGGAGCTGATGGTGGTGCAAAAATTTATAGAAGAGTTGGAGAAGAATATAATGTGAAGTGTTTAAAGGCAACATTTAAATTTGGTGGTGGAAATGTTATGGTTTGGGGCTGCATGAGTGCGTCCGGTGTTGGCAAAATTGAATTTATTGATGAGAAAATGGATCAACACTTATATAGATCCATATTAGAACGGAATTTGGTAGCTTAGGCAAGAAAATTAGGACTTGGAATGGAATTTATATTCCAACATGACAACGATCCAAAGCACAAAGCTGGATCTGTAACCAGATATTTTGCTGCAAATGGCATTAACGTGTTGGATTGGGTTGCACAATTGCCCGATTTGAACCCTATAGAACATTTATGGTCGATGGTGGAAAAAAGAATGAAAGATCGAGCTCCAAAGAATAAAAACAAGCTCAAAGAATTGATTTTAGATGTTTGGTCATCAATTAATCAAGAAATTCATCTAAACTCGTCTCATCAATGAAAAATCATTGTAGAGCAGTTATTGAAGCTGATGGTGGTCCAACAAGATATTAATTTAATTTTAACTAATTTTAATTTAAAAATTAACATAGTGTACGGACAAATTTTTTTGTTTAAACTTTTAAATCTTTTCAAATAAAATTATATAACTTTTCATATATTAATATATTTTTAACTAATACACTTAAAATTACTTTAATATTATAATATTTTTTTAAAAACTCTTAATTACAACTATCTAAATACTTTTAAATGTTGTTCTGATCAAATATAGACCCCTTTTCGTTGTTTTGATTTTGCGAAACACGTGCGCATGCGCAAGTCTTTGGCAGTCAAAACAAACAATTTTAACGTTTTAATTGAATTAAGAAATAGTAAACATTTGGTATTTTTTTATCTTCTATACATCTAAAATATGGAAAGTTGGAAAGAATCAAGTTATTTTGAAACATTAGATGAAACCGAAAAGTTTAAGTATAAAAAAAAGCTTACTTTAAGTGACAGAAGCACGCTACCAGATCCATACACATTGGTGGAAGCCTCTTGGAAAGATGATGTATCACTTTTGCCAGATATTCAGTGGGGAGATATATACACATATCTCATAAATACTCCGAGCCAATACACAAATGAGAATATGAAGGCCTATAAGTCTCTTGAAGCATATAATTTTTTTGTTTGTGGGCATGTTCAAGATGTTTATTGTAATATTGTTAAAGAAGATGTTCAGTTTTGTTTTGTAAAATCGAAGGTAGGGAAAATAAATGTTTCAATGAAAACAATATATTTAATTATTCTATTTTTATTGTATATATATATATATATATATATATATATATATATATATATATATATATATATATATATATATATATATATATATATATATATATATATATATATATATATATATATATATATATATATATGTATATATATATATATATACTTTCATTGGATGTATATATGTATGTGTTTGTGTAAGAATGTTATTTATGTATCTCCCTCTCTCTCTTTCTATCTATCTCTACATATATATATATATATATATATATATATATATATATATATGCATATATATATAATATATAAATATATATATATATATATATATATATTATATATATGTATATATTATATATATATATATATATATATATATACATTATATATTATATATATATATATATATATATATAATATATATATGTATATTATATATATATATATATATATATATAATATATAATATATATATATAATATACAATATATATATATATATATATATATGTATATATATATATATATATATATATATATATATATATATATATATATATATATATATATATATATATATATATATATATATATATGTAGAGAGAGTGGTAGATTTATACATAAATACATACATATATACATACAATGAAAGTATATATATTTTATGTACTTTTTAATTTTAAAAGTTATTTTTTATTTGCTAGCAATAAAATAATGTCTCTTTTAAACAGGTACTTCCGAGTCAAAGGCAGGGCCAAAAATCTAAACTTTATGATGTATGGGTTGCCCTTAACAAAGTTGACGGATGGATACTTACTGGAAATTGCACATGCATGGCAGGGTAATAAATTATTTTTAAAAAACTATTTATAACATAACTTTTCATTTTTAACATATGCTAAATAACCTATATTAATTTTTTAGTCTTGGATCTGTATGCAGCCATGTAGCAGCTCTTCTATTTAAACTAGAAGCATGTGTTAGCATTCAGGCAAATAAAGTTGCAGTTACTAGCAAACTTTGTGTGTGGAACAGATCTAGAAAAAAAGCAGAACCATCAATGCTACAAAACATTAATTTTAAGCGACCAATGAAAAATCAACTACCTTTTTCAACACAAAATATCAAAAATCCTAAAAGAAATTACTCATTTTCTGAAAATGTTGTTAAGTTTAGCAATAATAGTTTACATAAACTCAGGGCAATTGCCCCAGAAGCAGCTTTTTTTACAAGTGTAGTTGGTCTAGCACCAACTACAATATTTGATCATAGTTTTAGTGACAATACTGCAACTGCTGATGAAAACGATACAAATTTTTTACCAGAGCCAATTACTTCTTTGTTTGACAATGATGCAAACAATCTTGACAAATCTTTGCTTGAAGAATTTTGCTTATCCAAATTTAATGAATACAAAAACAGTTATTCTCAATGCAACTTTAACTTATTGGCAGAAGTGAGTAAAACTCAAAACCTGTCTAATACATGGAAATTACATCGAACTGGTAGAATTACAGCATCCAATTTCCATGAAGTTATAAATAAAAAATTACAAAATTCAAAACCTTTGTTATTCAAAATAATGAACTATGTAATTTCACCAAATGTAGCAAGTGTTATTTATGGAAAAGAAATGGAGGACAAAGCACGTTGTTTTTATATTAAATTATTAAAAAAAAATCACAACAATTTCAAATTAGAAACAACTGGTATTCATATCCAAGCTAGTTATCCATATTTAGGAGCATCGCCAGATGGAATTATTCAATGTACATGCCACAATAAAGGTTTAGTCGAAATCAAGTGTCCCTACAAATATCGTGAAGGTTTAAATGGTTGGAAAGAGGATAAAGATTTTCCTGTATGTGAAAATGGCGATTTAAAAACAAGCCATAAGTATTATACCCAAATACAAGGACAAATGATGATTTTAGATGTAGAATTTTGTGACTTTTTTATTTGGACACCCTTAGAAAGTGAAGGAAATTACCTACTGGTTAGAGTTTATCGAGATGAAAAATTTATTAATGAGATAAAGCAGGCATTACACAAATATTATTTTACATACATTTTACCAGAAACTGTAACAAGAGAAAATGATATTTATTATAGCAATAAGCAGAAAAACTATTGCATTTGTAAACGCCCATGCTTTAAACCAATGATTGCATGTAATAAACCTAGTTGTGAAATTGAATGGTTTCACTACTCATGTGTTAATGTAACTCGTGCTCCTAAAGGAATTTGGATTTGTCCAAATTGTTTAAAATAATATTTTGTACTATTTAGTTTGAAAAAAAAAATTTATTATTAGACATTTTTTATTTCTGTACTACACTTTTATTTAAATTTATAAGTCCAGCTACTGAAATCATTATACTATCAAGTAAATCAACCTGGCTTACAGGTATAGTTGATGTTAATAGTTGGTATTTTTTTAAACGCCCAATAACTCTTTCTATATGGATTCTCACACGAGCAATTTGACGTGATAAATCAATGTCTTTTACAGCCATTTGACTTTTACTTTTTGTAAATGCTGGTATTATTAAAACAGCTCCTCTTGTTGCTAATTCTTCTTCCACTAAAAATCCTCTATCAGCTAAAATACAATCTCCGTAACAAACTTTATCTAAAAAACCTGACTCAATTGTGATCAGTTTGTCTGATGCTCGACCACCCCATCCAGATGATAAAAAACTTACAGCACCAGCTGGTGTTATTCCAATTAAGTATTTAATGGTATTACGTGATTTATAGGTAGAGTAGGTTTGAGCCCTAGCTGTTAAGTTATGTGGCCTTTCTATAAATATTTCAGTGCAGTCTATTATACATACACAATTTTTAAAGTTTGTAAAACAACATGGCAAGTTTGCTCTTATAGCAGCTCGTTCAGGCCGCACAATTAAATTGCACAATACATTGGCTAATTGTTTTATCCATAAGCGAAATATTTTTGATATGACTCCTTTACTAATGTTAAATCTCAAAGCTAAATCTTTATTTTTATGTCCAAGTCTTAACTTCATTAATACAATTAATAAATGGTTTTCTAAGGACATTGTTTTAACAATAGGTTTGACACAAGATTTAACTTCTTGCAAAATCCATTCAAACAAAGCTGGTTTGGTAATTCCAGTTAAAAAGTTTAATGCTTTTTCTTTAATATTAATATAATCAATTATCTTCTCCTTTGTAAACTTTAATTGTCTTTGACATATTTGTAACTTTTGCTTCAATTTTTGTATTTCAAATATCTTTTTTCTCAAAGTTCGTTTTAGTTGTTTTTCTTTTGTTACAAATACTTCAGTTTGTGTGCCTAAAATTAAAAATATGCAAATAATACTTTATGCTTATATTTTACAATACTAATAATATTTTATACTAATATGCAAATAACACTACTAATAAATTCTTCAAAAAAAATTTTTTTTTTTAAACAATTAGTTTAAAAGTTAATCAACACATAAGTTATATATCAGTGACACCAATTAAGATAAATTTAATTTACAAATTTTTTGTTCTTTTTTTACCTATTTCAACAGCTCTTTGGGTTATCTCGTTTTCTGAAGGACAATTTAAACAGTCCCCTTCAACCAACTCATTAATTTTTGTCTCGTTAAATGATCCAACCTCGTGGATCGGTAATAATATAGACTCATTACTAGAAAGAGTTCGCTGCCTTTTTTTTGATCGCTCATATCGTTCTAAAGAAGCTTTAATTTGTTTTCCATGTGTCTTTTTAAAAGAAAATACAGTTGGAACATAATCAATATGACAGGGATCATCAGATTTTTTCCCTAAAAAAAGATGATTATCAGTTAATACATAAGTAAAAATACTTAAAGTTTAAGAGTTTATTTTTTATTATTTTAATTTAAGTATAACAAATACATGAAAACTATTAGAACACAAAAAAACTGAATGGAAAACTAAAAATCTTACCTGTAGTAAAATGAGCACTACACAAACGAGCATTATTTATTTGTTTTACGTTCCATTTTTCTCTTTTAATTGCTGCAACCCATTTGTCTCTTCTGTTAGCACCAGATTCAGATTTATTAGTTGGTATTCGATAAAAGCTCAAATGAGCATTAGCTAATGTTCTTCTATTTGTACATCCATAGGCACAACACACGTCAGGCATATTATTTTATAAATATAAATGATTATTAAAAAAACTTTGTATAAATTAAACCTTTAACTCCTATATTATTAAAAGACGCTAATTAATATTTACTGTTTAGCTTTAAAATCGATTTGTTTTGACTGCCAAAGACGCGCGCATGCGCATTTGTTTTGAAAAATCAAAACAACGAAAAGGGGTCTATAGATACTTTTCATTAATGTACGGACAATTATTTTGCCCACTGTATATATATATATATATATATATATATATATATATATATATATATATATATATATATATATATATATATATATATATATATATATATATATATATATATATATATATATATATATATATATATATATAAATATATATATATATATATATATATAAATATATATATATATATATATATAAATATATATATATATATACATATATATACATATATATACATATATATATATATATATATATATATATATATATATATATATATATATATATATATATATATATATATATATATATAAATATATATATATATATGTATATATTATACTATATAAAGTTATAATTGAAAATTTAATTTAGATAATACTTCCAACTGCTAAAATTCCAATTTCTCCAAAAGATGCTACCATAGAATTTGATGGAATTGGAAATGCTGCTGTAAATATGTTCAATGATGATCCACAGTAAGTTATTTAGTGATGATCCACAGTAAGTTATTTAGTGATGATCCACAATAAGTTATTTTTATGTTTTCATGGCTCTTTTGCTTTTTCTTATTTTTCGTTTCATTGTAAATTTTTTTTATTTTAGATTTTTTTTTTTTTTTTATGAATCCTTTTATGAATTAAGTCTTATATTATAATTTTGTATTTAAATTTAAATACAAGAATTTATTAAATAAGTTGTAAAAAATAAATTAAAAAAATAAATTTAAATAAAAAGTGGTATGGTCGAAACAAAAACTTAATTTAAAACCATAACTAAATTTTTTTTTTGATGTACTAATATAGTTTAAAAAAATGATACTTAGTCTATTTCTTTTTGCCTTAGTAGTCAACAGGTACTTGATGAATTCTAAAGTCTCTTAACTGTGTAACTGTGTTGATGACATATTACAATTTTACAATGTTGGTTGCAACAGCATTGATAACTCACATGTTTCTAGAGATTTGATAACTGTTTAAAAAAAAGATCTAAATTCACTACTTTACAAAACTAAAAATCATTTAATTAATATGATGGAGTATCATACAACATCACCACCTGACTACCCCCTACTTCTAAATATTGTTAATATAAAATTGAATATTAAAAAAAGTTTGTTGACTAGTTTTAATTATTGAATATTTTGAAATAGCAAAATAATAAATTTTAGCAAAATAGGTAATAGATTTTACCAAAATAGACAAAGCTAGTTTTTGCTTTGGAAGTTGTTTACTTTTTCAATTTCTTGTTATTGTATGATTACAATAAGATATAAACCCAAACCCACTTCATTATGAGATACAGCAAAATTTTAATGGAAAACTATAGTTTTCTATATATAAAATTATTTAAGGTTACATTAAAAAGTAATTAACTCAATTACAATGTGTCTGTAAGTTTAGATTTGTGTAGAATAACGCAAATCAACCTATAAAATAATTTTCTATATAAAAATATTGTTATTGAGAGTATTCTTGAAAACCTGTAAACATTTTTGAACCAATCAGTAAAGTAAACCTTTTTGAATCCAATGTTTCGGTTATGTTTAAAACAAGTAAAAACATTTTTTTAAAAGTTAAATCATTAGTAAAGTCTTTCTTTAAAGAAAACCATCAGTGAGATAAACTTTTATTAAAACAAAATCTGTGGTAAACTTTTTACCATTAGTGAGATAAACTTTTTACTATTAGTGAGATTAACCTTTGTTAAAACATCATTGGCAATTTACAGCAAACTGTTGTGTTTTAATTGGGTGTAATACAAATTTTTTGTTATAAATAATTGAATATGTCAGTAACATTTGTCAAGAATAATATTATGTCCAAGGAAATGTTTTCTCAATGCAAGAATAATATCATACAAAATAAGAATTAGTTTTTTTGTGAAAGGAAAAGTTGGCTAAAGATTTTGAAATCCCTTGAAAAAAGGGATACTGCTTCTGAAATCTTGCCTGTTTTGTTTAGATTCAAAAAAATTTTTAAATGGTATCTGCTGAAAAATTTCCAAAGCTGCATTAAGAGGAACATGGTTTTATATTTAAAATTGGTGAAAAGTATCAACTTGGTTGATGCATGTCCAACTAAAACATAACACGAATTTATACTTGAAGATTTTTGTGTACTTGAAGTGTTTTTTATTTTGACATTTAATAAATTTTAATAAGGTTTACTTTGTGTTAATCTTTTGGCATTATTTTAAAGTTTTACAAATTTAATAAATCAATATCTTTACTAACAAACTATTAATTTTTCAATAGTGCTTTTGTTTGGGTTGATTTGATTTGGTTTGATTTTGATTGTTTTGCATTGATTGAATTGATTTCAAAACAGAATTTGAAAATGTCAAGAAAGAAGTTATTACTTGCACAAAAGCTACATTGACTGAAAAAATATGTTTTAAACAAAAACTGTGTTTGATGAAGTTAATGTATTTTGCTCTGATCCTGCCACCATAGCTAGGCGTGCAGTAAATATTTTGTTTGTTTATTTCACTATGAAATATGGAAATTTACAATAATAAATTATCAATTCACATAAATAAAGTTTGGTGTCACTCGCTTAGTTAAAAACTAGTCAATGGAGTGACATCTAAAAAAAGTTAACAAAACAGAAAGAATTTAAAATAATAATAATAAAAAAAAAACAATTAAAAAAAACTAACATAAATAATAGAAGAGAAAAAAAATAATAAAGTTAGAAAAAAAAGAAAGAACAAATAATATCTATAATATGATAACTTTAATAAAAATTAAAACTAATGATAAAAACAAAGGTAAAAATAATTATAGTCAAATTTATAACAAATTTATGACAGAAATTATAAAAATAAACATAACAATTGCAAAAATTATAACAATAACTATAAAGCTATTATTAGAATTATTAGAAATAAGTATTATGCATAATTATTTAAGTTATTTAGTCATTCTTTTTATTTATTCAATTATCTTCTTTTTTATATATACTTAATGTTACATACAGTTTTAAAGTAAAATGCAACATGTTACATACAATTTTAAACTTTTTAGAATTATTTATCAACGGTCAGGCAATAAAATATCTTTCTATGCAAAAGTAAAACCATTGGTTAAAGATGCTGACATTGTAGTAAGTTTGTTTATTTTTTTTTTATTTTTTGGTTTCCCATTGATAATATTATAAGTATGCTGAGCGCACAATGGTATCCTTGTATGACCAGCTGTATTCTAAATATTTTTTTGAAAAAATTTAAGATGTGGTTGTGCATATGTATATTATTGAATACTTTATAAATCTGTAATAATTTTTTAACAATAATAAAAAATTAAATTTTTTTAAATATATAATTTACAGCATTTTTAAGACACTATTTTCAAGTATTTGTTACTAGTGACCTGGGCCCAATAGTTATACAGGTAGTTTGTCATAAGAATTTAATGATCACTGGATTACCTGTCTAAAAAAAATTGAACCCAAATATTGAATAATTTTAAAAGGTCATGCTTGGCATGATCTTTTAAAATCATTAAAAATGCTACTTGTTCAAGTAAAATATACTTTTGTTACCTATATGTTTACAATTGTATATAGCAAACTCTTTATTAAATATATTGGTGTAGCAAAAATAATATCTAATAAATGCAGTAGTTTTATGGTACGCTATAATCATGCTCAATATGAAATATTGATTATAGATGACATTCTATTTTTGTATTGAAACTTCCTAAAGTGTAAATTTATTTTTAACTAAATTTGCATATTTTTTTGATTTGTAATAATTCATATTAAAGCTTGGATTTTTTTTTCAATTGGTAAACTAAACCGTCATTTTGTTAGTTCAATTTCATGGAATATGATACGCTATTTTTCTAAGAAATTACAAAATATTAAAATAAAATAGGGATAACAATCTAATTTTAGAAATTGATGGTGTAACAGTTTACATTTAAAAAAATGCTGTTGAAGTTATATAAACTTTATGAATTTCCAATTAATAAATTGTTAAGCCTACAGTTTCTAAATTGGAAATTAAATATAAAAAAGTTTTTGGGACTTTTTTTACGAAACTCAAAAAACTATTTTATGTGAAAAAATGAAATTTATTAAATTCTTACTTTTGAATAAAAGCTCACCAATATTAAACAGAAACATAAGGTAACAAAAATATTGTACCCAGACTTATCTCATTTTAAGAACTAAAACTTTTTAGCACTTAAAATGAGATACCAAAAATTTCAAATCATTATATTTCTTACTGGACCATTTGAATGTAAGTATGAGTTATACACTCACTGTCCTATATACATATATTGTACATATACATACATCATATACATATTTATTTGCATAGAGATATATTATATAAAGATGTATGTTTATATGATATATACATCTTTATATAATATATCACAGATATAAAAATGTATGTTAATATGATTTTTTTTTTTTTTTTTTTTTAACATCTTCACTTCCAACAAGGCTGCAAGCAACCACTATAAGAGTTGGAAGTTACTGGAAGAGAAAAGACTAAATCTGTAGAGCAAGATAACGATTGACTGATGACTTAAAAGATTGCAAATTATATGAATCAGGAAAGCAAGATGAAGGAAGCGAGTTCCAAAGAACTGATGTTCGAGGAAAAAAACTAGAAGAATAAGAGTTTTTGAAGCACTTAGGAACAGTCACAGAAAAAGGATGAGACTTAATTGAATGCCGAGTAACACGAGAATGAATTTTAGTAGATGGCACAAGGGACGCTAGCTCTTTAGAGCAGTGCCCATTATAGTATTTGTAGAAAAGAGAAAGAGAAGCAACATTACGACGATGAGACAAAGGTTGGAGATTGGCTGCCAGAGCAGGTCCAACTATGTTTACAATTCGTTTTTGCACCTTGTCTAAAAGAGAAAGAGCATCATTAGAAGATCCGCCCCAGATGTGGCAACAGTATTCCATACAGGGACGGATTTGAGATTTATAGAGATAGAGAATAGAATCTGGAGTAAGAAAGTGTCGAGCTCGATAAAGAGATGCAACCTTAGCAGATGCTAATTTTGCAATGGATTTGATATACGGTTTAAAAAAAAGATCAGAAGTAAGAGTTAATCCTAGAAGATGAATGGTAGATGACTCATCTAGTACATTACCATTCATAAATATAGGAAGATCTAAATTATTACGATAACGATTGGCCGAATAAAATTGAGTTTTATCTGAATTAAAGTTCACCAGCCACTGTGAGCCCATTGCTGTAGCAGAAGTGAGATCCTTTTCAAGCTCAGATACCCCCTCCAAGCAATCAGAGAGTGTAGGCTTCTTATCATGACAAGAGTAAATGGTAGTGTCGTCAGCGAATAATGCCACCTTAGATGTGAGAATATCTGGAAGATCGTTAATGTAAATTAAAAAGAGTATAGGGCCAAGGATTGAACCTTGAGGAACCCCTGAAGTTACAGGATGTGAAGAAGAGTGTTGTCCATCGAGGACAACTTTTATACTACAATTGGAAAGAAAGGACTCAATAATCTTAAAGACGTTACCAGCTACACCATAAGAAGAAAGCTTATGGAGAAGACCAGCATGCCAAACTTTATCAAAAGCTTTAGAAATGTCAAGTGCGATAGCCTTAACCTCTCCACCTCTATCTAATGCAAGGTAAAACCTATCGGTTATTACTGTTAGCACATCAGCTGTAGAACGAGAAGACCGAAATCCATATTGATGATCAGAAAGTAAGTTATTTGATTCAAGATGAGAGATTAAGTGTTTGTTGATTAAAGATTCAAAAACCTTGCTTATGACAGGAAGAAGACTAATGGGACGGTAGTTAGATGAATCAGATCGCTCTCCGAAATTTTTGAAAATAGGGATAACAGATGCTGCTTTCCAGCATGATGGAAAACAAGACTCTGATAAGCACTTGTTAAATAGTTTTGAAACTATGGATGAAAACTCAGGAGAACACCTCTGCAAGACTACAACAGGAATGTTGTCAAGACCACAAGCTGTTGAAGAGTCTAAGCAGGAAATCACTTTAGATACAGAAGCTGAAGTGATGCGAATGTCAAGCAAGGGATCAACCTGTTTGACGGCTATGTCAGGTAAAACGCAACTAGTGGAATCAAGAGATGATATTGATGAAAAGTTCTTAGCAAACAATTCAACTTTGTCTTTAGGTGAGGTGACAAAGTCTGAACCATACAAGAGAGAAGGAATAACAGATTTGCCCTTATTATTGATACTGTTAAAGATTCTCCAGAAGTCTCGAGAGCCTAATTTTTGTGATGAGATACGAGATTTAATGACCTGGGAATAGCGAGCTTTGGCGTCAGACAAAACCTTTTTACCATGGTTTCTGGCAATAGTGAACAGATGTCTGTTTTCTGGAGAATTGTTTTGCTGATAGATATGGAAGTAACGGTTTCGATTAGATTAGATATTTTAATAATATATACAGGTAAAGCTTTCGTAAAAAAACACTTTTTAAAATAAGTTCAATGTGTCCTGATTTCCATTCATAATCTTTTTTTCTCATAATCTTTTTTTAAGTTTTATAACGATCAGAAGTAATAGATGTAACTTCTGAGTTTTACTTTTTTGTTCACTTACAAACAACACTATCTGGTATGCACCTGAACAATATGTTTTAATATGGTTTAGTAATTAGTACACAAATAATTCCCTTAGGACATTATTAACAATTAGAATAATTACCTTTGAACATTATTAAGGATTGATATAATTCCCACAAGACATTAAATGTTGGTATAATTCCCTATGGACATTATTAAATGTTGGTATAATTCCCTATGGACATTATTAATGATCGGCACACAAATAGTTTCATTAAGATATTTTTTCAGCACAAAGGAATTCTTGTGTAAACGCTTATAAAAGCCATAGTGGCTTTTATACTTAATAAAAATGTGATATGAGTGGGAATAACAAACAAAATATTTATGTATAACATTTTTTAATAAATCTAGTAAAAAAAACTAGGTATTAAAAACTTTATACAAAAAATGGGTAAAACAGCTTTAAAAAAAAAAAAGAATGATAATGGGACAGAAGAAGAAAAAATGAAAAGATACAGAAAAGTGAGACATCACCTCAAAGACAGCTTCTATCTAGTGGTGATATTTTGAGATACTATCAATTTATATTTCGCCAGTCACAGGTTAAGTACAAACCCACTTCTTCTAATGTAGATTGCCTGTTAAAATCAAAATTCAAGGATTTTGCTTGTGAAAATGGTGTTTGATCCTAAAAACTCCTGCTTGGTATCTAGGATTAAAAAAATTGGGGATAATGATGGGTTTGGCAAGAAATTTGTGATTTTAGTGTACAGCAACAAAACTAAAGTCATCAAACTTAAATTAGAATACTAGAAATTAAATAAATTGTCTTCTCTGAATTGGGAACAGCAATCTTGATAAGCAGTCGAAGTTAAAGAAAGTTTTCCTCACAGAATCCTATCAGCTTTTTGACATTTCCACTAATAACTTTGAAAATGATATCTTTGCTGATTGAGAACAGATGATGACAACTGGAAGATATAAAGTAAGTTTATTAAATAATAGATAATTTTAGAGTAACAAATGAGTATTGAGATTATTTGCTAGATTCAAGCAGTGGTATACTATTTCCTTTTGAATATTTACAAGAGTATATGTTAAACTATTTCCATGGCTTGGTAATCTTCCAGGAACGACCAGAACAAACATAACTTAACTTATACATGTCTTAACAGATTTAGAACTTTTTTAGGTTCTATGAAGGCCAGAGGTTGGAGAGGAAAGGATATATGGGAACTAAGGTTGATGAAAAGTGCAGTAGGAGAGTACAAATGATGCAAATAGGAGAAAGAACAAGCTATTTAAGTTAAGAGATAAAAATTTAGAGAGACATAAAAAATTAAATTTTATCAATGTTTTATCACATGACTCCTTGACAGAAGAGCTTCAATGCAGCAGTGAGAATAAAAAGTAAATTGAGGACTTTGAATTTAGCGTGGAAGAAGATTTCCAGGGTAACACAAAAACACAGGTAAAGTATTCTTTTAGTATCAAAGTTGTAATTTTTACAAACTTTTAAAAATTGTTTTGTTGAAAAGTAAACTATTATAAATAGGTAGAAAAATATTATTGATTGAGCATCATATAGGTATAAGTCTGGAGAACTCATTGAATGTACTGTAATTCGTGCAACAAGGTTAATGTTGGTGTACAAACTCAAACTTGGTAAAAAAAAAATCCATCATATTTTTAATCTGGTAAATGTTTTTACAATGATGAATCGTGCATACAGCTTCTGAATTGTGATAAAAACCAAAATGTTAATGTGAACTTCATACATAAAAATAAAAATTGAAATGAATTAATAAATTTAAAAAGTTTTAAAAATATTATGGTTGGTGCTCAAACAAACATCTTTAGTTCCAGTAACCAAAAATCACATGTGCTTGACTCATTTAGCAAAGGTGCATCCGTTTTTGTGAATCTTTTCCTTTCATTTCTAAAAACTTTTATTTATCTAGTTTCTTGCACATCAATGCTTTAGAACTCTCTTTCATTTTCATGTTTTCAACTTACAACTTTTCAAGTCTTCTGTCAACAGTAAACAGTAGTTTTAACTTTTTTTTAAAGTTAAGAAGAAGTAGTTAATTATTTAAAAATAATATTTTTTATTTTGAAAATTTCTGAGAATTGCACATATTTTATACACCTCTAATTGATTTGTTCTAATTGTCCAAAATGTATCACACATTTTCTATTGATGAGCCAGCTTACCTAGCCAAAAAGTCGTATAGGACCTATAGGATTTTCTATTGATGAGCCAGCTTACCTAGCCAAAAAGTCGTATAGGACCTATAGGATTTTCTATTGATGAGCCAGCTTACCTAGCCAAAAAGTCGTATAAGACCTAAAATAGGATTTTGAAACAAAAACTTTCATAGCTACAACACTTTTTAACTTTTGTGTTTTAATTTAATAGGGTTCAAATCTGAAATTTTTTTTGTTCTTAATTCTAACTCAACGCCGTAAATGCATGTTCTGGAAAATACACGAATTTTGTGATTTAATAAAAAGGATATGAATAAGTGAAATTTTTTAGCACAACTAAAAAATAAAAGAACAATTTTTTTTTTCTTTCGGTCCTTTTGTATGTCTAAAATTAAATGAAGTTAAAGTTTTTTTAAATTACTTAAGTTTAGGTCTAAAATTTTGCTTCTTAGTTGAGGTATTATTTGGTATAAAATGATTTTGATGCTATACAAAGGTATAATTAACTAAAAAACATTTTTAAACAAGTTTTATGATATATATATGTAATTTCTAACCAGTCATATGCCTGAAAATATATCAAATGGTAAAAAAAAAATTAGTTTCTATAATATATATATTCCGCATTTAAGATAACTTCAAAATTTTCATTTTGAATTCTTTTGAAGATGGCAGGATATAATGATGGCAATTGTTGTTAAAAAAAATATGGCAAGGATTCTACAATGTTTTTTTTAAACATTGGTAAATCCATAAAAGTCAGATACCATCAAAAAACAGTTAGATAAGCTAACATAACAGACATAAGTGTACAGATGATGAAATAAAATGTATGAATAAAATATCGAATGGCAAATGTTATCTTAAGGCAAAATCTCTGACATAATCTCCAAACTGGTCAAAATAAAATGATGTATCTTCATCTGGAGGATCTTCCCTATTGACATAGCCAGCAATGTAAACCAAAGACATTTAATTTCTTTAGACAAATTGCTTTCAATAACTGGAAGACTATGAAACACATTGGACAAAATATCATCTTGCAATACATAATTACATTTGTCACACAAATTGCTTGATGATGCTTTTAAATCATTAGCAGTAATACCAATATTCAGACAAAGTTTTGTTTTTTTAATGTCAATTTTTTTTAATATTTGCTGAACATTTATGAAATTGGTACCACCTGATCCTTGCCTAATTGTTTTCCAAATGCTTTCTCAATAGGACCACTAGTAAAATGTCCAATAGGACCACTAGTAAAATGTCCAAGGCAAACATACTTATGTCTTGTAGTTAGTAAATGTTTTACTAGTTCAACCATCCTACAAGATGTATCTTTGGTTAAATTTTTTAGTTTATGACGTTGTTTTTCAGGAGCCATTTTTTCAGCTATATCAACCAAAAGAAAGTTGGTTTATCATTGTTTGATGAAAAAACATCACGATATTTATCTCTAGTAAAAATATTTTCACTAAGTCCTTTAACATCAACAATTTTAAAAAACTTGATAAAAATAGATAAAAACACTTATATCTTATATTTTTGACATTTTTTATGGATGGATGAGTTTTTAAAGCAGCTGCAGTCTCATTTCAAAATACTCTAAAACAAGTTGACACATTTTGACGTTCAATTTAGAAAAAAGATTGCAGTTTTACTAAGTTTAGACAATTTTACAATAGCATCTTTTTTCAAATAGAATAAGTTTTTTAAGATCTGACCATTTTGCAGTTCTTGAAATACATTTGTATGTAAAACATAGTTCTTAGCATTTTTCTGTGAGCTAATTGTTGCAAATAGATTTTATTAAATGACAAAAAACATATAGAAGAAAAATGATATCATTAGTGTACCAAGTCTTTGAGAAATAGAACATTTTTCAAAATACAACTTTAAAAAATCATCATCCAACATTTCTATCTTTAGATGTCAACTTTGTCATCAAAGATTAGTTGGTAGTTCGTAGTTATCAGTTAATTGAGAGTAAAGAGTTTTTGACAATGAAAAGTACTCCCTAGTAACCATATCAGGAGATATTGTCCTATCACCCATACCAGGAGATATTGCCCTATCACCCATACCAGGAGATATTTCTCTATCAACCATTTCACGAGATATTGCCTTAGCAACCATATCAAGAGAATACTTCTTTTCACCTATAAACATTAAGGAGTTCATACTTAACATCTGTTTAATAATTATACTTTTCTTGTGATCGATTGGTAAAGATTTCATATAGTGTATTGCAGCATGGAGACAATTAATAGTCAATAATATTCATATGATTGTAAGAAAAAGGTTTTATGGTGCATTTAACTCCACAGTGATAGCTATCAAAGGATAAATCATTTTTTATTTTCAAAATGAGCTTTGAAACACACAAATTGTCCAATATATCAGCAGGTTGAAAATGTAAACAGTTTTCATATATGTTTGATATATTGAGAAGGAAAAAGATGTATTTTTAGATATTTTTTAATGACAAAAATCTTCGTAAGTAGATATATTGTTAGCTTTCACAAAAGCCTCTATTTCATAAGACATAGTACTTCTTAAAGATGACAATCATTTAGTAGTTGGTCTTGGTGGTGCTAGTGGAGTTAGAATTTGACTTGGATTTACACAAGGAAATACATATGGTGGTGGTGGTGGTGGATTGTTTTGGTCTTAATTTTATGTAAACTAAAACTTTTTCATATACTTTTAAAGTTTTAAAGCTTAGAATGTTAAGACTAAATATTTCAAAATCGACATCTGGCTTTATTTTGTAATGCATTGAATTTTAGTGAATTTTAGTGAAACTTAGTGAATTTTTTAGTGAAAATTAGTGAAACTTAGTGAATTTTTTTCATATTTAAAAACGTACTCATTTAATAGATAATCCCTCTTTAAACGACATTTTTCATAATTTTGCAAAAAATGCGGTTTGCTTGCAAACTTTAATTAAAAACTGTTTTTGTTAACCTTAAGCAATTAATTAAGGTTTTTTTATTTTAACAATAGTCAAACAACGAGTGTAATTGATAATAACTATCAGAAATATATTTTTCTGATTTTTTTTTTTTGATAAAAAGTAACAAGAAATTACTAAAATTTAGCCAAATTCATCATTTGTCGCGTTTTTTCTAATCTAAAGGAGGTTTTTTTACTATTGTACTAAATGTCGTATGATGAAACATTTTATTGATGTTTTTATTCTTTTTACAAAACAAAATTATCTCAAATATTTCAAAAGTTATAAATGTTTTAGTAACACCCCCTAAGTAAATATTTTCCAAAAAAAACAAGAAGCCGTAAAGCTCACTCTGAAACAGCCGTGCACTATATATGATAATTTTTTAAAATTACACTATTAGTGTAATTTAAAAAATTCAAATTTAACAACAAATTGACAGTATATGTGACAATATGTATATGACAATATGTATATGACAATATGAAAAGATGTAAAAATTTATGAATAAGTTAAAATGGATTAAAAAAATAAATTAAGTGGATTAAAAATTACAGTGAAGAAAGACAATATTATTGTTTTTCTTCTATATATTCTATACATTTTCTTAATCCACTCTATTTTATTTATTAATTTTTACATCTTTTATATGTTTTTTTTTACTTTATATATAACTTTTTTTTTCTTTCTAACAGAGAACAGTCGAGACGAAAAATATGATAACTTGCATTAAGTGCGTTGAGTAGAATCCTATAGGACTTTTTGACTAGGATTTGCATGAAAACCGTAAAACTCAAATTTTACATCTAGTACATCTAGTCAAAGAAGAACACAATTTTTTTTTAGGGCTCATTTAGGTCTATGGAGTCGGAATCAGTAGAGAGCTTTTTTTTTTTTTTTTTCTTTTTGTTTTTGTTTTGTTTTGTTGTTTTTTTGGGGGGCGAGGGACATCCTAAATCAGATATATGTAAATTTAACCTATGCGTTTTAGGTCTCCTTTGATTTGTGTTATGAATACAAAATGATAACCGCGCCGTTAATTACTAAAGTTGAAGATGGACAAGACAAAGGATGTACTCCGCAAGAATTTCCTGTTGCACTTGGTATTCCAATCAGAATTAATTTTGGTAAAGTAAAAACTCATTAAATTAATTTTTCGAAAAGTTTATTATTTTCGTGACTACTTTAAATATAAACTTGCTGATAATTTTGAACTTAAATGTTGGCCTCACAAATGTTGGTTTTAATACAGATTATATAAACGAATATTATTTATAAATGTAAACAAAGGGTTGACCATGTTGAAAGTTAGTTTACAGGTATACGTAGAAAAATTTTTTTTCGATAATGAAGAAATTAACAAGTCAAATTATTTAGTAGTATGGAATATTGGATGTGCATTTTTTTTACTTTTTTTGTTGCATAGACTAAGAGGGATGTTAGAGACAGAACCCTTTTATCTTGTTTTGCTTTTTTAATGAATTTGGTATTTTAATAAGCACTTATTCTGCGTCAAGAATTTTTTTATTTTAGTAGTTATGATTAATTTTTATTTTTGTTTTGAATGATGTATTTATTTTCATTATATTGTTATTTTTTTTAATAAATTTTATCAAAACAAAAAGTGTTTTATTTATTATATATATTATATATATATATATATATATTATATATATATATATATATATATATATATATATATATATATATATATATATATATATATATATATATATATATATATATATATATATATATATATATACAGGGGCGGACTGGCCATGTGGAAGATGTGGACTATTCCACATGGGCCGTAATTTTTTCTGTTCGATATTTATTCATTAATGTATATATTTATAAATTAAGCATAACTTTGTAATTTACGTCTGTTATCTTTGCTGCTTTTCCTCATTTTTCGTTGGCCTACAGGGCCGTTAAAAATATTTTTCCACATCATAATAATTTGGCCAGTCCGCCCCTGTATATATATAATTATATACTATTTTTAGTGTTTTATTGATTTAAAATTAAAGATGAATTTACTTGGGAACTTTTTTCTTTAAAAAATCATACATTTAATAAAGTTTATCTGCGTCTATCTGTTTTGATAACAGGCGGTGTTAAGTTATTTTTTTTTAGATTTATTCAAGATGTTGTTTAGAATATGAAAGTTAATAAGAATAAGTAAAGTAAATGAAAAATTGGAATACGTAACTGAGAAACACAACGAGTAGTTAAAAAATCTTTTAAACTTTATGATATTGAGTAATGGTACGGCTAACTGAGGAACCTTTCCATCTTCATGATTTTCAATACGTAATTCACGAATTGAAATTGTATTTAATGTAAGCTCGTGACTTATTATGAATGGTTTTTTTTGTATATAAGTTAGTAATATCAGCTTTAGCCATAGATATATAAATTACTGGATACGGTATAGGCATGCCATTTTGGAAAATATTTTGAAGTCGAGCTATTGTTGAAAAAGTGACAGAATGAGGCAAAACAGTTTTTTACAAATTCATAAATAGTAGTAATATGTAATATAATGTATGTATTATAAAGCATATTACTGTTACAAAAAGTTTTTTAAAAGTAATATGTAATTTAAAGTTTCAAGAGAATTTGTTTAATAAGCTTGTAATTTTAATTATTAAGCTATTAAGCTCATCACTTGACTCAAGACACCTGCGGATTTGATAATAAACAGTTATTTAAAGTGAAATTGTACTAGAAAGCAAAATATACAGTCTAAATTTGACCGTTATACTTTTATTGAATATGTGTTCCCTGTATATGACTTGTTGCACAGGATGAGACATGGTATAAAGGTACATATAAATAGGCTTCTATAATCAAATTAATCAGTTTAACCAAATGGTTATCTTCCACTGGAAAATCCTGAATGTGATTTTTAAATCCTTGAAAAAATGTTTTAGAAAATAAATGGTGGCGGATAGTCAATTTTTAATGTAGAATAGATTTCATAAAAAATTGTAGTTCTTTGATTTTTGATTTGTCTGGAATGCTATGTCTAATAAACTTTTCAACAAAAGAACAAATTACAATAACATCTTTTGATTGATAAAGAAGACCACCTCTGCTTTTTTGATCAACAAGTAAACTTTGTGAATTATCATCAATTAGAGATGCAGTACAGGCCTTACATTTAATAGATCTTTTTAGCTTTCTACTAACAAATCCACCACTTCACCCCTTCTTCAGAATATTCGATGCGATGTAAGTATTAGTATTATATACCAGTAAGTATTATGGAACAATTGCGATGGTTCCATATTACTTACTGGTGTAATCTCCTCGTTAGCTATAAATAAAGTTGTATCATTTAATTTTCATTCTGATGATTCACAATTCCATTTGTTACAGAAAGTGTTTCTGTAGTATCATGAGCTAAACAATTACCATTTTTTATGTTTTGTAATGATTTGTAACAATTTCGTAATGATTTTGTAACAATTTCGTAATGATTTTGTAATGATTTCGTAATGTTTCGTAATTATACTAAAAAACGCCAGTACGTTGTCATAAACTGTTCAGCTGATGGATTGTTATTAAAACCACCTTGACTTCTAACAGTACTAAAGAACATTTCAATATGATCTTGACTCAGTTTGTATGTCAGCAAGAATTTAAATTGGCTCTCTGGAGACAAAATCAAGTATCGGTTAAATTAAATTACTGATTGAATGCTAAATATAAATCCAATGAAGCCAGTTTTTCGGTTTGTTTTATAAATTAAATTATCAGCACTATCTGTCAAACTGGACAAGTACTGATATACCATATTGACAAAATTTGTACAGTGTTCTAAATTGCTTAAAGAGATAGGAACTTTATAATTTTTACCAATAAAATTCCGGCTGTTTAATAAATCAAAAAATTTGTCTATAAGCTGAATAAAATTGATAGTTGGTCCAAAATCTTGAAACTCTTTTAATTTTAACTTGTTTGCACAAAAATCAAAACAACACTTAAGGTTTGTGCTGCTAATTTAACTTTTATTTTTTGTTGCTTCCATTCTATATGGTGTTTTTTCAGTTTATTAGCAGCATAAATTCCTTCTTTTGATTGAAGCTCATACAATTGTTCAATGAAAGCATAATTAATAAGACCATTGTTACTGTCTTTTAGCAATTTCTTTTCAGCAAAGCAATTTCTAACTAATTTTAACATATGGCAAGCATCAAGAAATAAAATACTGGTTCTGCACTTAGTGGATGTTTAAAGTATGCTTTTAGATTTCTTATATCACTATAGTCAGCACCAAGAATTTTCATCATAGATAAATTTGCAGCTGTACCATCAAAAGTTAAAGAAATAACTCCAGTTTCATGAACATTGACGAGACATTCAGAAATAATGTTTGCTTTCTCTTTTGAATTAAGTCCATCTGTTAAAAAATATGCTCTTGGGATCTTCCAATGTCCATTAACAGCAACTAACAACAAAACAAAAGCTTCTTTAGCAACATCAACACTGTCATCGTTAAATTCTGTTCCATAATTAACAAAGCCATAGGATCTTTTCCCATCCCAATCAATTTACTTTTAAATTGACATTTCATCCATCATCAAACTGCATACAATTTTTTTGTTAAATTCATTATTTTTCAATTTTAAAATTTGAAATGCTTCATGAGTAAAGCCTGGCTGTCTATTAATACTACTAGACCATTTTCTCAAACTGTCTGGGTGAAGAAGACAAGTGTCGAAAAACTGTCTAACACAATCATATGTTTTTGCTGAATAAAAATGCAATGTTAATGCAAAAGTTTGCAATGATAAAGCGTACTTTAATTTGCTTTTAGATTTCAGTTTTCTTTGAATTAAATCTTTAACACCAGAATTAAGACTATTTAAAGTTGCTGTGGCTTCATCACTAATTAAACGTTTTTCTTGTAATTCATTTATCACATTTTGAAGTTTTGCAACTTTTTTTTTGAGTCCGCGCTTTTGTTACACATTTACACATTTGATAAGTTTTTTCTGTAATTTATAAGCATTTAAAACAAAAGACAACTTCTTGTTGACAGTTTGCAAATTGTCTGAATCAGTTTCCATGCTTCTACGCTCATTTTTTTATTTGTACCTTTTCTTCATAAATATGCTAAAATCTGTGTCATTTTTTTCTTTCTCTATTTGTTTTTTCAGCATTTTTTCTGTTGGTGCTTTTCAAATTTTACTAGTGGATGGTTAAAATTGTTTTGGAAAATCAAAAATTGTTGGTATTGCATCAGGTTTCAGATATTTTGTCAAACAGTAACCTGATGTTTTGCTTTCGTCAATGCAATTTTTAGAAAAAAGATCAAAACAAATAAAACTAGCGAAAGAGGGGACAAAATTCTTTCGTTTAGTTGCAAGAATCCATGCTGCTCTTTTATCTGGATTCACTGGAAATCTATTTAAAAATGGATAGCTAGGATTCATTATACATACAGACTTTTAAAATAAACATAATAAATTTCTATTGAATCTTTAAAAACAAAATGTTTAAATTATATAGATACTAAATTCTTACCTATGAAAACTTCTGGAAACCCCTTTAGCAGATCTAGCTGTACACCCAAATGCACAGCACAAATTAACCATTTTAAAACAATTAATAAATCTTTAAATATATTGTACATAAATATATATGTATATTATAGATAAATATATTATACATAAAAATAGATGTATAGTTTTATATTCAATATTAGTCTCTTAAAGCTCCATAAAAATCTTGCATTATACAAGTTAATTAGGTAATTCATGGCATATTATTTTAATAAAATTATTATTTGCATTGCAGTATTTGAAAAACATTTTTTTTTTTTTTTAATTTTGTATTATCAACTAAGATTTATTTTATTTAGTTCATCTGAAATTAAAATATACATAAATCATAAATGAATTCCAAATTCCTTCGAAGTTATTGTTTTATGCAATACAAAATATAACTTGAAATTAAATTGTAAACATTGTTCAATATATACGCTGATTAAACTAAATTTTTCTGTCTCACTCTACGTCATCAAGGTAAAGTTTGCCCGGTTTCAATTATTTCTGCCTAAGCCGTATCCAGTAATTTAGTCTTTTATATGCATCATCAAAAGTTAAAGAATTTTGAGTAACACTACGGCTATTTCAATACGTAATTCATGAACTGAAATTGTGTTTAATGTAAGCTCGTGGCTTATTATGAATGATTTTTTCGTATATAATTTAGTAATATCTGCTTTAGCCTTTTATATGCAACATCAAAAATTAAAGAATTAAAAGACGTTGTTAAATATGTCATGCACATTATTATACAATATTACATTATGTACATCATTTTATAGCAAAGACCGTGTCTATAGTTTTTAATGATCTATAGTTTTAATTGCTACGCTTGTAAAACGATACTTTCTAATTGTGTTTAAAAAGACTTCTAAAATTATTTTATCAGTAAAACCATATCTGTTAGTGTAAACAATATAATTAGGAAAACGCGTTAAAAATTTTTTTTTTTCAAATTTAGCATCAATGCAGGCTTCAAACCAAAGTCCTCTTGGTTTGAGTCAGACCACTAACCAATGTGCCACGACTGCTGTAGGTTTACATATAAATATTTGTAGCTAAAGTAGCGTTGTCTCTGTTTTTCTGTTTTTACGTAGGAAAGCGAAGCGCTAAACTAATTTAAAGTAAAACTCTCATTGCGTTTTCATACGTAATAACCAGGAGAATGACAACCCTAGCCTAAGCATAATTCGATATCTTGCTATCAGAGTATATCGAAGGTTTCGTGCGCCGTATATTCGTCTCCTATATTTTTTAAAAGCAATGGATGGCATAAACACGCTGTACATTTTAAAATAGTTTATATGTCGCAGGGCTTGTCATACGCAGCTCTTTTCGATACGTTTGTGCTTATTACTGATTTAAAGTTACGAAGCTGCTGGCTAAAAAAGTTTAATAAAATTATAGAAGTTAATAAGGGTTAATAATTTGGAAACGTTCATATGATGATATAAAATTAAAAAAATCACGGAGTCCCAGCAATTTTTATGACGGGCAAGACCCCGGACTCCGGGTAAAAACAGGGTCTCCTGGACTCCGGATTCCAACATCTGTAATCATGAGGCATTAAAGATAAATTTTTTTCCCTTTAGAGGCATTAAAAATAAATTTTGATCTCAATTATTCACAGTACCAAGTGCTTAGAAACTCTTCACTGAAACAGAATGCCGAAATATACGCTTTAATTACATTGATTTTTGATGCAATATATTATCCAGAATTTTTGGGAAACATCAACCAAGTGTTCTGTTCAGTCAATGGTGAACCACACTTTATCAAGAACTATGTACATATTTAATACTTCATGTCTAGATGGATCACAAACACACTAGAAAACTCTATCTAAATGCTGGAATGGGTTTGGCCTCATCTTAAAGTGTATACAATCAAAAATCATGCAAATGAAGTTGAAACTGGAATTAGACCATTATATGGTCATACTCAAAGCCTTTAATCTACCATTTTTGCAGATTTCTTCACCTGCAATACCGAAAAGAAGCAAAAAATCTAATAAGAGCTGAAGAATTAGATGTTAGGAAGTAAATAGAAAGTTTTCAACTTGAAATCTTCTTCTATAACTACAAAACAAAGATAGAAATAAAAATTGAGATAACTAAGTTGGACGGTAGGGCAGTGCATGCTATAACAAATACTAACTCAACACAATCTTGCAATGTTTTGAGAACAACTAGTTTCCTTATTTACTTAAAAGGAGCGATCCTGTGATATTCTCCATTGCTTTCAAGAACTCCAAGACAATTGCTAGTTTTAATTTTGATCCTGATGTACACAGGAGATGAATTTTTTTTTGCTAAATAAATTTTATTTTTTAGATTTTTAACTTTTTCTTGTAAGAATTCACTTTTCAGTATATAGAATTAATAGGATTACACTTTAATGCATAAAGATAGGGTAAACCAACAATCAAAATACACATAAGGTATTGTCTCAAAATAAAAAAAAGTGCATTCGCGTAATTAAAGAGGGTAGGGAGGATCTGGGGGAAAGGGGTCCTCAACTAAAAAACTGTAAAATTATCTATTTTTGATGTTTATTACTAAATTGGTACATTACTTTACAAAGTTTGAGTTTTGACCGCGTTTTGAACATTACGATTCACTTTGCACCGGCCTATTAATTTATACTTATCACAACCCCTGTAAACCATTTATTTATTATTTTTTTTTAGGTGCCCCAAAAAGTTCTTACGGTCCACAGAGTACCGCGATGAACATTTAATTGGAAGTTTACGTCTCCTTCCTAACCGATGTCCCAGAGTTGGGTTTGCACTATGGATCCTTTGTTTCTGAGGCGAGTGCGCTACCACTGCGACGCGGCTGCTCGAATAACGGGTTACTTACTCCAGCTCTAAAACCAACCAATCGAATTGTGATAAATAAAATTTTTTTCTTATCAACATTTCTTAAAATCTAAGTTCAGTGGTTTTTAATAATTTATTGTTATTAAAATTAAATTGAAATTAAATTGTATTGGCATAATTACGTTTAATAATAAACGTGTAAATAAAAAAATTCAGTTACTGATAAAGATAAATAATATGCAGTACAATGGAATTTTTATTAATATTTAATGGTGAAGTCTGCTATATACTTTCTTAAGGTTATATTAAGTCTTAGGAAATATAAAACATTAGACGTGTATATAATATATAGTTAGACTAAATTTTACATTTAAGCTAAATTTTACTTTGTTGTACTTACTAAAATCTAACGTAATTACAGGAAATCAGTGATATTTCCTGATACTATCACTGATAGTATCAGGCAGTAAAGATGTTTATCTTTGCATTTTTAGCCATCAGATAAAAATGAGGCATAAAGGGACTAATTTTTCAAATCATAGTAAATCAAAACTAAGAAATTACTCTAGAAAAAACCTGAATGTGGTTTCTTATCAATAAAAAGCCTCAGCTGCTAATATGTCAGCTAACTTGCTAGTCGTTGTGACCATAGTTTTGAGGTTGCAGAGTTTTATAAATAATTCTTTAAAAACAATCAAATTTTGTTACGAAAAATTTTATTAAATGGAAGGAATCAACTAAAGTAGTTACAATCAATTGAGCAGTATATGTAAATGATCAAACAAAATATATAGTAAAATGAATCAACACTATTGTGATATTGATTGCAATAAACAACTGGATTGTATTTGAAATAAAGTTTAATAACTAATTTGTTGTATTTTTATGATATGTAGTGAGCAATAGTCCTTGCTTCACTGCATCCATTTAACACACAATCAAACCTTTTTATTTGTACGGATAGAGAATCAGCAGAATAACAACAGGATCAAATCCATTTTCGTTAACAAAAGTAAGGTATTAGAATCAAGATATTATATTTGGAGTTTGTTGATTAAAAGCGTTGCAAAACTAGACAAAAATTACTTTTAAGGATGGCAATTCTTTACGTGAGGGTTCACATCAATTTCAAATGGCATTTATAGTAAATACAAATTCAAAAAGCATTTCTAGCAGCTGAAGCTTTCTTACTGCATTGGCATTGTTTATATCTCCCAAAATAGTTTTCCGTCTAAAAATTATAGTAACAAATCCAGACTATTAGAATAATATTAAAACCAGTTTTAATGAAACAATAAAAGTTAAAATTCTCATTGTAACTTGTGAAAGGAGTAGGTAATGATCTGGATAACCAACTTAATTACAATGTGTTCACAAGTTTAGATTAGTGTCAAAAAACAAAAAGCAACCTTGAAAATAGTTTATGATGGCTAAGATATAGATTCATCAAACTTTTTGTTTGTATCCTTGTATTAATCTAATCCAAAAAAATGTTTACTTTTCATTATTGTATATAAAAAAAGAGTATATTAGGTGATTTTTAGAAAAAAAGAGAGTTTTAAAGATTTTACTTCAAAAAGAGTATCGTACTATAAAAAAGAGTGTCTGGTCACCCTAAGTAAAAATGTCTAGTCACCCTAAGTAAGAAGATTGATTTAAATATAGTTAGTCAGAGTAAACACCAGATTTTTTAAAAAATAAATGTACTGTATGTTATTTCCCATCAGTTAGATAAAGTAAATTTAGTTAAGCATTTGTTAAATATTTTAAAGTGTACTTAAGCCATCACCAATTAATTAAAACACAATTACAGTATCAGCATCAAGTAAACCTTTTGTATCTTATACAAATTAAGAAAGGTTTTCTGAAAAGCATACAAATAAAAGTGCTTCTTCAATATGAAAGTTGTAAATTCATAGAACTTGCTATTCTATTTCTGAGTTTTAGAAATGACTAGTTATGATTATATTAGAAATAGACTATAAAAAATAGCTAAAACAATATTCATTTACATAGCTCAACTTTTTCTTCCTAATTTTTCATATATAAATACAATATGATGCTAATAATTATTTTATTTTTTCATGTGCGGCATGAAAAGCGTACATAAAACATTTAGTTAGTTATAGACACATATGTAGTCTACATATATCAGCTGATATTGCCATGGTTTAAAGAAGTTTAAAGAAAAGTTTTTAGTATGATTCTGGTCTTACTTTTTTATTGTTTTTAGTATTTGTGACAACAATTTATCTGAACTGTAAAAAAACTGCAAGACTAGTAGGCATGTGTGTATATTACTTACATTAACTAAGGAATTTGGTTTGCTGTATCAATGTATAAAAGAAAAAAAGTCATTTATTGCAGCAAAAAAAAATTTTTTTTTTTCTGTTTGAAAACATGTCTGTATTAAAGTTGATATGTTAAAGTTAAAACACACACTTTAACTTTACAGTTAAATTTTAATTTAATTTTAGTTAATTTTGAAAAGTAGTATAAAACTTATTTCTGAAATTTTAATTTATGGTTTGTAATAATAGTTTTTAATAAGTCATAAATAAATTTATTTGTAAATTTATAATCAAATTTAATGACAAATAATAAAAATTTTGATTTGAGACAATTTAGTTTATTTAAATTAATTTGATTTATTTTTTAATAATTAATATGAGATTAGACTAAATGGTAGCTGTTTTTATGATTTTTTACTTGATTTATATAAGTTAGATATATAGATTTTGTAACCCGAGATGGATTCTAGCCGTGACCCAAAAATCAAAGATGAGTTAGAAAATAACACACAAAAAGTTAGTGATAAAATTAATCAATATAAGAAGTACAGTGATGATATAACAATGTACATAGCATATCAAAATTGGTGCTGGATGGAATATTCATGGATGCTGTATACACAAATGCTTCACAAGAACATGCAAATAACTAATTTAACTAATCAAATTCAACAATATCAAAATCAGCAACAATCTACAGAACGTAATAACTTCCAACAACAACAACAACAACAGCCACACGTAGAAGAAAGAGTTAGTAAGTATATAAATAAATTAAATTTTTAAAATAATTAAAAAATTTTTTTTTGTGTGTTTCTACAACTTTTATTCTTAAATCAGTCTCATAAATATTTTACGATGACACTGTATAACAGGGCCGACGACATGGGTTTAAAAGTGTGTGTGTAGGGGGGTGGGGGTGGGTGGCACAATTGTCAGTTTCTAAAAAAAGCTCTCTGTATCTAGAATTTAAATAGCGATTATATATTTGGGAAATTAAATATATATTTTTGTGAGTATTTAAAAGTATTTATGATTTGTTAGTTAATGACAAATCTATAGATGCTCAAACTTCTGTTTGGTATATAAATGCTTAACTTCTGTTTGGTATATAAATGTCTATTGTCTGCTGTATTGGTATTTAACTATATATTATCATATATCATTAAATCAAACTAATGGGAGTTCAATAACAATCTGTGAAAACTTTGAATATTAAAAAAAAGTTACATCCACAAGTTCTTTTGTTTTAAGATACTGCCTATTTTCTTACAAGTTTTATAATCTTTATATATATTGTGTTGTAAAAACTTTACACATTTCTTTAAAAATAATATCAAAACAAGAAGCTAACAGAATTTTAGTTAGTTCTTCAATCTTACAGTAAGAGGTTAACCTAGAAACACTAGGTTAACCTAAAATAATACACTGGTAAATAAAATTTAATATTGAAACTAATAAAGAAATAAATACTCTACAAATACTTTCTGTTTAATTGCTTTCAAGAACCCCAAAACAATTGCTGGTTCTAACTTTAATCTTGATATACAGTACTCCTCAGAGGAAATAAAAAGTTTTTTTTTTAAATAAATATTATTTTCAAACTTTTAACTTTATCATGTAAGAATTCACCTATCTATATAAAATCAACAGGATTACACTTTAATGCATAAATAGGGTAAATTAACATAGTGCACATTTATTTCACAAAGAAAATATTCCCAGAATGATTTATAGAATCTAAAAATTAAAGTATATTCAAGATTTGCATTGGTGATAACGATGGTGTAAACTATGATTTATTTGATCCAACATTTGATACACCTGTTGTGTCTGGCGGACCAACAAAAAGACTCATTTGTTTTTAACAACAATAATAACCTTGAAGAGTGACCATGGATTTTGGTGCCATTTTGCTGGTTATTCTTTTTCCGGATAATATTACATGGAAAATAACTACAACTCCAACATAAGACACAAGTGGGTCAATATTAATACAATTTCTGTTCTTGCAGATCATTTGATAGCAACTTTCACCCCTTTCAACAAACACTAATCCACTTGCACTCCTTTCAACTCCAAAGTTTACGAACTGTTGAGTTTCATCATGATTAAACATGCGTTTAGTATCTATTTTACCATACTACACTTTTTCTGAAGTTTTTTCACTGTTCTTCATTATACCTGTAATTTTAAGTTCTTCATTTGAATGACTTTCACCAATTTTTCTAACGTAGTTTAAAGCACGGTTTATAGAAACTCTCCCTTATCTCTTTTGAGTTAGACTGGGGTGCTTTACCATGAATCTTGACCAGAAAGAATGCGGTTATATTTATAATTACTGTGGACAGTTTTGCTTTTTTATTAAATTTAAAACGACTGTGGACAGTTTTGCTAAAATGTTTTTACTCAATTCTATTTTGTCTATGTAAGAAGCTGCTTGATATTAGTTCTTAATATAGGTCTCATTTGGATATATTTTAACTGTGAAAATAAAACTAAAAAGTATTATGAATAATTTATAAAATAAAGTTTTAGTTCTTTAAAAAATCTTACCTGCATTTTACGATACAAAAAACCTACATTATGAAGTATGACTAAAAATCTGAAAGTCATTTATACAATCTATTTATGAATTTAACATAAAACTATTATCAATCTATTTATGAATTTAACATAAAACAGTTAAGAAATTATCACACAAAATGTCAACAGAAATAAAAACATTGTTCCAAAGTTATAAAGCCATAAAATTAAACCTACATTTTAAGGTTCACATGGTAAAACAGTTCTTATTTTGCCGTGCTGTTGCTAATTCGTTAAAGAGTGTAAGTGCAACAAGTATCCCAAAGGAATTTAAATGATTATAAGTTATGGCCAAATGAAGACTAGCTTTCAGCTATTGTAACAAAAATTTTATAGATATTCAAAAAATTACCTACATTTTAAGGTATAAATACATGTATTATCTGTATTACACCAACTGCATACAAACTTTAGATTACTATATAATAATATTTTGATTTAATATATAATCAGAAATAAAAAAAATTTAATATATAATCATAATGATGTGTTTCTCAAGACTCAAACTCCTTTTTTTGTCTTTTTTTAACAAAATGTATATATATATATATTACTTTTTAATGCTAATTCTTTTTGAATTTTTGAAATGACAGTTATGCATTAAGCTTTAAGTTTTTCAACAACATTTTAGGATGCAGCCACAACAAAATTTCATATTAATAATCTATAGTCTTTTAGGCATTTATAGTTACTTCATTATTTTTTATCTGACATATTCAACTGTTGTTGTTTTAGTTTTCAAATTGGCCCCACTTTCTAAACGAATTGCTGCAGAATTCATTGATTTTATGTTGCTAGCACTGTGTAAAGTATTCCTTATCTATTATTTGTGAGTGAGCAATTTTTAATTTTTTATGGTTACTTTTAATTTAGTTTTGATGTAAATCTTATAAGTTGACAATCAAGGATGTTAACTTCGCTAAGCTATAATTTTATGTGAGAATTTTTTAATTAATGGTGTATTCAGTAAAAAAATAAGGTGTTAACCAGCAATTTCAAAAGGTTTATTCAAACACAGATCTTCAGAAATTTAAAAAAGTTTCAATATAAGTTAAGCTATTATTATTTGAAATAAAACAGTTAAAATTTACTTAAAATGAATTAAATTAATTTTGAATTAAGATATTAGCTAGTTTTATTATATGTGTCATAAGATTTTTGTTTAGAACAGGTTAAAGGAAAAATAAAATTAATGACTTTTGAATTTATGGATTTTAGTTCATATTTATGTTTAAGATAGCAGGATTATGTTATAGCAGGTCTTTCCTTGAATTTTTTGTTTATGCCAATTTAAATATATATCTAAAAGGATTTAAATATTTTATCAACATTGTTTTGTATATTTTATGTGGATTATAAGTAAAAATTTTATTTTGGAACAGAAATACATTAAAAACAGATATTATTTTTAAAATTTTAAAAACTTGCTGCTTTAAAGTTTCATATTCATTTAGGAATTGAAAATAAAATAAAAAACATATATTTGTCATATTTTACTACCCAGATTATATCAAGAACAAATATAACCTGAATAATATAAATGTAACCTGAATAGTAAATTATGTCGGGCCAATGTCAGAACAACATTGGAATTGTTGGCTAATGTGTTGTACTGCTTGGGAAGGTATACTACTATGCTCTAATTAAGTTTTTAATACCAGCAATACTGTTTAATTAATAATTATTTTTAATAATTATTAATTAAACAGTATTCTGATTAATAATTATAATATTAAGTCTAATAATTTAATCCAAAATAATTTTTTTTGCAGCAATTTTTTAAATATTTACAAAATGAAAAGTTGATGATACGGTTTTTGATGAAGTAATAAATTTACCTTATGTTTAAGTTAAATACATGGTAGATTAGAGGAGTAGAAGATTTCAATTATTCTAAGTGTTCTGTTTCTGGATTTTTTTTTTTTTTATTTTAATTCACCTCCTCAAGGCCGAGAAGGCCACTACAGAAGAGGAGGCTACTTATTTGTGATTATAACCCTCTCTCAACTCTATAACTTCGAAACACGAACCTTGACAAGCAAGGCCGCTGTGCGGAGAAACGAGTTGAGCGCAGTACTACCAGGGACGTGGTGGGGATCGAACTCGGAACCACTCGTTTATGAAGCGAGCGCTCTACCACTACACCACTACCACATTATTCTAAGTGTTCTGTTTCTGGATATTGAAAGGATAAAATAAATGTCTTCTATGAAAAAATGCTTTAATTTTGATTTCATTTATATACATGATATTAATAATATATAAGGATATAAATAATAAACAAGGATAATAATTAAGTATTATTTAAGAGTATATGATTATAAATATATTAGGAAATGTAATAAAATAAAATATAAAAAAATAATAATAATAAGCTTTTAAATAAGTCTTAATTAGCTTAAACTTATTTAAAAGCTATAAGATTTAAATAAGGTTTCCAAGTATAATGACCAATGCATTATTTAAGATTCGTATTTAAAAAGTGTGCACTTTTTTTTTAAAATGAGGCCTATTTCCACTTCCTTGTTGTTACAATTCGCTCTCAACCTTATCACTCAGAAACACAAATCTTGATAAATAAGGCCACTGGGTGAAGAAACGAGTTGAGCGCAAACCTACTAAAGGTATGGTTCAAACTTGGTAATTTTGGCGCATTAAGTGTTGAATTAAGCGTTAAATTAAGTGTTAGATTATGCATTACTACCACTGCATCACTACCGCATAAGTTACATATTTATCTACGTTTGTTTATACCATTGTTATATACCACAAAATATAGTATATAGTTATATACTTAATAGTATGTATATAATTGTATATTTAAATAGTTGTATACTGAATTACCAGATTAAATCTATTATATTTTAAATCTATTTTATATCAAGTGATATAGTTTTTAATTTTTTTAGTTATGGAGATGAATATATTGAAAAATTTAGTTATATACTTGTGATTGATGACACAACATCATTGTCAGACTTAGAAGATATGCTTATGCAAGCTCTTCTTTTTCGAGTTATAGTTATTGCATATGAGGTACTAACCTAACAAAAAGTTTATTGATACTATATATTTTTGATTTTCAAATGTATGTGTTTGATGTATAGATAATATAGATTTTTGGAAGACAAAAAAAAAAATCATTTGGAGTTTACCATTTATTTCTCTGGTATCCTGTTAGAGCTTAAAATACACATATTTAAAAAAAATATCAGAAAATTGAGAGAATAAACTATAAAAAAAAATGAATAAAAAATTTTAAAAAAATTAAGTTTTTTTTTTCTTTTCTTCATTTTGCAGATATAATTAAAAATGGGTCATTAGTTGTTGTCTGATTGTTAACTGAAAACTAGTTTTGATAAACAATGAAAGGTTTCAACAAAAGACATTGAAATTGTAATTAAAAATAGTACAAAATTCATTATACCACAAAATATGAAAACCACAAAACTGAGCAAAAAATTTAAACTAAATTTTTCGGAATACAGACATGATTATAATAATTGTGCAAAACTTTAAAACAAATGATATTTAGAGGTCGACCTATTTGACAGTTTTTACGTTATGTGTGCAGCTAGTTCATAAAACTTCCTGATGTCTAGATCTAATTTTCACTGTTCTGGTATTTTCTTAAGGAATGTCTGAGAGTTTTTTTTTGCCTTTTTCTATGAGGACATTAGAAATGTTTTTTGTTACCAGATTCTCCAATTTTAACTGTTTTGAATTCACTGGTTAACTTTACACGCTGAAGGATTTCTGCCAATCTGTGATATTCTTGTATTTATGAACAGTCAACTTGAATCGAGTCTTATAGCGGAAAATTTTCAGCGTGTAAATGGTTTTAGCCATCCATCTATAATGATGTTTTGGACTGGGTGCCAAGAAACCAGAAGGATCAAAATAAAAAATTTCTGATAAGCGTCTATTGGCTGTTGTGTTTGAAGAGTACCTGGTAAATAGATAAGCATTTCCTGTAGTATAGTTTTCAATATTGTTCCTGAAACAGTTCACCAGTTGTTGTACAATAAGTATCTTGGTTCTTGATGTTCATTAATTTGGAAACTGTTTGAGTAGTGCAGTTGATGGTCCTTTAATTAGACTGAGCAGAAACCTGGAAACATTTAAAAAAAATAACTTTCCTGACATTATTAGGGCATGCAATCCAGACCATTTTAGTTTCCAGAACTTCTTCAATGTTCACATATGTGCCCTTATAAAGTGCTTAGTGCTAGTTGTTGTGTCAAATACAAAGCCTTTTGATTTGTGACAGGCATTTGCTTGAGTCTCTCCTGTTCCTCTATCCATTTTGCAACGGCATTTTCAGCTGTTATTACAATAGGCTTTTGTAATAGTAATAACAGCTATGTGATACACAATTTCCATTTGTTTATCAATGTCAGCCAATATTTTCCCATCCCAATACAGCATTAGTAGATCTGCCAGAGAAAATTATTTTTTATTCATTGCAGCAGCCTGTTTTTTTTTCTTTAGTCTGGATCATCTAGTTGAATCTTTGTTATAATGTTATTTCTGAAATGTCATGGCCGAGCATCTCAACAGCTCCAGCAACAAACACAACTCAGTCTGGAAGGTAAACACAATCCAAACCACCTACAACTTTAGGGACTGGAAAATATTTAGAAAATTCTTTTTTGATGATGAAGCACAAGCTGTTGATGTTGATATAGTAGGCGTACAGTTTTAGTTAGTTTGAGTTGGCTGATACTTCTTGTTATTTAACTTGGACTCTGAATATATAACTCTGAATGTTTTTATTTTTATTTTTTTACTATAAAACATGAGCATCAATGTAAAAAATTGCTACATTGACTATCTTATAGCCTGCTGCTACAAGGGAGTGTTGCTACATCAACTACCTTATTGCTACAAGTGCTGCTACATTGAATGAGGGTTTAATTTAAGCAGGCAGTCTATCAAATAATGATAAAAAAAAAGTTTAAAATTTTTTAATAAAGAATTATTTACGTTTTATTATACATAAAAATACGCAGTAAGATGTTTTATACCAATATTCACTTTAAAAATTCATTAATTATAACTCACTTTAGTTTATGTTTTACAATAAATTAAATGTAAAAAATTAAAATTAAAATAAGATAGAATTGGAAAGGCTTGCAACTTTTAAATTTTGCATATTATAGTTTTTGGTCTAGTTAAGGTACTTTCACTTGTAGCAACTATTTTTCTAAAAAAAAATTGAAAATTGCTGGTGTCTAATTAATATACTTTAATTTGGAGTTATAACAATACCAAAATTGTCAACAAAAATATTTCTTGATATTTTGGCTACTTTTACAACTACATTCAAAAATTTTTTGAAAATCCTAAACACTCTAAAACTAATAAAATTAATTTTATATAAATTGGTCAGAATATCACCCATAAAATTACACTTTTGATCAAAAAACTTTTCAAAAATATAAAAAGCCGGATGTCAATATAGTTAAAGAGTTTTTCTTGCCTGCTGGCAATAAAATTTCTTTATTCATATTAACATCTTGGTCTGAAATCACAGTGACTGTTTGGTTGTTCTCTTCAAAAACCCACAGACCAATTATTCCAACTTGCGATATTGCATACCAAACAGTAACACATTCCGAGTGTAAAGGACGTTGATGAAGCTGTCTGAAATTGTTTTGGCTCCAATAACGCATGTTCTGCTAATTAACACATCCCAAAAGATGAAAGTGGTCCTTATCAGTGAAGAAATTCATTCTGAGGAATGTTAAGTAGCATATATATATATATATATATATATATATATATATATATATATATATATATATATATATATATATATATATATATATATATATATATATATATATATATACTCTTGCATGGTCAACTTTAAGTTTCTATTATAATATGGTAAAAATTTAACAAAAACCCATATCTTTTTCCGGCATTAGTATTGAAAAAGCACTTAAATTCCAGTATTAATGATATTTCCAGCATTGATGATATGGAAATGATACAAAAATTGTCTTAAAGGCAACCACTGTACTTATAAACATAAAAGTATGTAATCTAAAACTAAATAAAATATAAATTTGTGTAAAACCTAATCCAAAAAAACCATAATAAATTTAAAAAAGCATTAACACTATAACATACTTAACACCATTGAAAATTATATGTTCAGACAACAAAAAGACAACAAAAGCTAGGGCTTCCATAATACATTATTTTTTAATGAAACAAATTTTGAAATTACTAAAACAAATTAAACTTGATGAAACTCTAAATAGTCAGTCACAACAATGACGAAGCACAAATAATATCAGGTTTTCATAAAAACATGAATATACAGTTAAGCAATTAACTTGAAAAAAACTAAAAAAACAAAATTTTCATGACAACTAACAAATTACTAATTCAAATAAAGAACTACTTGTAGGCTCACCAGGTATCTTATTATTGTATCAAAAAAACACTTATGGAAGGTACAATCCCTACAATCCCACAATCCCTACAAAGCATTTTTCATTCCAATTAAGATTAATAAATTGCAAAATTTCTCAATAAATCACAAAATCAGAAAACTTTTTTGAAGGAGAAACAACTTTAGACAATAATAACAATAAGATAGATGGAAATAAAAGAAGACAATTCCACACCATTTGTTGATGAAAAATTAACTTAACAGATTTTTTTTTTAAGTTTTTCAATTTGTTTTACTATAAACTGAAACTTTTGTTTAGTTTCATTACTTTTTTTTTAATCTGTTCTCTTTCTTAACATAACTCAAGTCACTTTTTTTCTCTGCAAGTTCCATACACTCAAAACTCATCATTAAATTAGCTTTTTTTGCAGCCTCAACTTTTTGATTTAACTTTTTATATCAGATGTGATATGCATTGCTTTTTGACTTCATTATCCATAAAATCTTTAAACTTAGATAACACAAAGTCACATTGCTGTGGTGATGAAATCCTTAAACTCATAAAGTACCCAAGTAAAGTTTTCAATCGACCAACTATTTTTTGATTTGTCAACTCCAACAAGACATTAGGGTCAAAGATACTGGAGATTTTCAAAGATATCAATAAAAAACTAAAATATACCATTGATATTTGGTATAGTTTTGTTGTTTCCAAATTTTAAAAAATATCCCTGAAATGAGTTAAAAGGTCTTGGTATGTAGTATGACTTAAGAAACCTGATGCAAAATAATGAACATTTACACAGTTTCTATTAACATTCCAGAATTTAAATATCCATTTCAGAAGTTAAATTGAGTTTTTGTTATTTTTTAAAAAACAATAAAATTTAATTATTTTCCTTAATTACTTTAATGGTTTTAAATAAAGTATTCCTGATTTTGTCAACATTAAACACAGGGTCTTTAAATCTACAACAGTGGAAAAAAAACACTGATGTTATAAATTGGGTCCCCATAATTGAAAATAAAAAAGACTGCACACTCATTCAATTTGAAAATAAAAAAGACTGCACATTCATTCAATTTGATATTAATGATTTTTATTCCATAATAACTTCAGATATTTTAGAACAATTGAATTTGAAAAAATTCACAGTGATTCCAGAAGAGACCATTCATGTAATAAAGCATTGCAGAAAACCTTTACTTTAATTATAAGGAAATATATAAGTGTTTTTTTTGATACAATAATAAGATACCTGGTGAGCCTACAAGTAGTTCTTTATTTGAATTAGTAATTTGTTAGTTGTCATGAAAATTTTGTTTTTTTAGTTTTTTTCAAGTTAATTGCTTAACTGTATATTCATGTTTTTATGAAAACCTGATATTATTTGTGCTTCGTCATTGTTGTGACTGACTATTTAGAGTTTCATCAAGTTTAATTTGTTTTAGTAATTTCAAAATTTGTTTCATTAAAAAATAATGTATTATGGAAGCCCTAGCTTTTGTTGTCTTTTTGTTGTCTGAACATATAATTTTCAATGGTGTTAAGTATGTTATAGTGTTAATGCTTTTTTTAATTTATTATGGTTTTTTTGGATTAGGTTGTACACAAATTTATATTTTATTTAGTTTTAGATTACATACTTTTATGTTTATAAGTACAGTGGTTGCCTTTAAGACAATTTTTGTATCATTTCCATATCATCAATGCTGGAAATATCATTAATACTGGAATTTAAGTGCTTTTTCAATACTAATGCCGGAAAAAGATATGGGTTTTTGTTAAATTTTTACCATATTATAATAGAAACTTAAAGTTGACCATTTATATATATATATATACATATATATATATATATATATATATATATATATATATATATATATATATATATATATATATATTATATATATATATATATATATATATATAAATATAAATATATATATATATATATATATATATATATATATAGTATATATATATATATATATATGTATATATATATATATATATACATATATATATATATATATACATATATATATATATATATATATATATATATATATATATATATATATATATATATATATATATATATATATATATATATATATATATATATGCACAATTACATATATGTATTTTTGTGTGTGTATATTTTTGTATATATATATATATATATAATATATATATATATATATATATATGTATACATATATATATATATATATATATGTATACATATATATATATATATATATATATATATATATATATATATATATATATATATATATATATATATATATATATATATATATATATATATATATATATATATATATGTATACACATATATATATATATGTATATATATATATATATATATATATATATATATATATATATATATATATATATATATATATATATATATATATATATATATATATATATATATATATATATATATATATACAAATTAGTTGCTAAATAACAATCACATATTATAGGGTTATATGTTATCTGGTACACTTCCATTTTCAAATGGTTCTACTCTAGGAAAAAGAATAATGAATCTTAAGGTTTTCTACTCAAATGATGTTGTTGATCATAACAATATTGAACAGACTGTGAGCATTGTCCCAAGACCTCTAGGAGTTTTAAGGTATGAAGTAACTAGTTAAGTTTTGTTGCAGAAATGTTTTTTAAATGTTTGTGTCAAAATTTTTTTGACACATACGTATGTTTCAAAAATGCGATCATTATATTTATCACACGTTTCGTCAAAAGTCACTAAAATTTTAATTTAGTTTTTAATATTAATGAAGGTTTGGGTTATGGACATAACTTAATTTAATAATGTGACCAATTAATTTAATTTGATAATTACGTCACCAATTATTATACAATCTTAATAGGTTTATATATTTTTCTCAGAAAAATAGAATAAATTAGTAACTGTGTCAATTACCTGATGAATTTTTTTGTCATATAACTTTTCTTTTTCTTTTTTTTTATTCGAAAAACATGTATTTTTGATTTTTTTTATTATTTTGGTATTTTTACATTTTTTTATGATTTTTTACATTGTAATTGCTTTTTGGATGTTTTTTTTTTATACCAAATGATTTAAACTGTTTTTAAAAAAGTGAATTTATGCTAAGTCCTCAAGGCCAAGAAGGCCACTTCAGACAAGGAGGCTACTTATTTGTCGTTATAACACTCTCTCAACTCTATAACTCCGAAACACGAACCTTGACAAACAAGGCTGCTGCGCGGAGAAACGAGTTGAGCGCGGTACTACCAGGGACGTGGTGGGGATCAAACTATATGAAAAAGTATGATTTGTAGATGAAATTCTGAAAATTGTTAATTTTCTTGCTAATTGTGCCAGCTTCTAACACATGAGTAGAAAAATTTTTATCAAACTCTGGACTTGTTTACTCAAAATTGAGAAATAAGATAGGAGTTATAAAAAAAAGTTTATAAATCAAAGAGTTATAAATCAAATATGTTGTTCAACACTACCACTTTTACAAAAATTGATATATATATATATATATATATACACAGATATATATATATATATATATATATATATATATATATATATATATATATATATATATATATATATATATATATATATATATATATATATATATATATATATATATATACAGTGGCATTCCTAGTTATGGTGTCACCCGGGGCGGCAAATAGGGTGTCACCCATATATTATATGTAATTATTTTTATATATGAAATTATTAAAGCAGTATTTAGAAACGTTGACACATGTAATTTTAAACCTTGTTTTCGACAATAATAATTTAGTGTCTATAACTCTCTATAAATAATTCTCGTCTATAACAGAGAAAATAATTATTTGAAAATAAATTGTTGTCAAATAATTATTATCTCTGTTTTAGACGATAATAAATTATTATCATCTAAAATTGTCTAAAATCAGCTTTATTCTTTTATATGCTTAAAAAAACAGTAGTACCTAGATTTGATTTGATGGTAAAGTATAATAATAAAATAGCAAACCTACTGATTTTTTAACTTCTTATCTGTAAAAAAATAAGTTAAACGTTCACTTACCTTTTGTTAAATATGCAGATCTGTCCTATAAATGAATCTATGCCACTGATGTGTTCATGTATAACAACATATTAATGTACTTAATTGTTTACTATCTATATGAACTAAATATGTTTTTTAAAATAATATGCACAAAAGTTTGAACTTTGTAAAGTTTTTATTCACTATGCAATCACTACACTAATTTTTAATCACAAAACTAAATTTTTCAATCACAAAACTAAATTTTTCAATCACTAAATTAATTTTTTAATCACTAAACTAAATGTTTTTATCACTAAACTAAATTTTTTAAACACTAAACTAAATTTTTTAATCATTATATAATTATTATCCTAAATTTTCATAACACTTAACCTTTAAAATGTTCCTTTTCTTACTTTTAAACTTGCAAATTTATCAATTACGTTATCAAAGTCAATGCTTTTGACAAACTCAGTCTCTATATATAATATTGCAAGATCAGAAAGTCTTGATTGGCCCATAGTTGATCGTAAATAATTTTTTTATCAGTTTTAGTTTTTGTTTATATTATAAGAAGAAAGCTAAGCGATTATATTTTCTAAATAATGATAACTATATCTTTCAGCATTCATCATTTTGTAGGTCGTGTAAATAAATACCAACTTATTTTTTTATGTAAGACTGTTTAATTATAAACCAAAATAAAATATAAAATATTGATAAATTGGGTGTCACCCAAAAGTGGATGACACCCAGGGCAGTGAGCCCCCGCCCCCTCCCCCTGTAGGTACGCCACTATATATATATATATATATATATATATATATATATATATATATATATATATATATATATATATATATATATATATATATATATATATATATATATATATATATATATATATTCATAAGTATTTAAAATTTAAGTCCTAAAGTTTTGATAAAAGACCTGAAAATTTGTATAGAAATAAGTTATAGTTGATAATGACAAGTTTGAAAAGCCAAAAATGTTTTCAATGTTACGATGTTAGGAAATATACAAAGTCAGTGTTTTGTATAGTTTCTTTGAGTTGTTCTACATCAAATATGTAATACACACAGATTACATGATCCAAGCCACAAGTAATATTAGGAAAGGTTTTGCTTAGGATCACTTATTTAACTACAAGACTTATTTGTGTGGGATTAACAGGATCATCTTCAATTTTCAGGGTTAGAGTTGGATCCTTTAAACGAGAAACATAATAGTAAATGATACTAGCAACTTCCTTATATATTTATATTTATATATAGAAAGTTGAATTTAATCATAAACTGTATTAAGTTTTGAATTATAATCACTAAAAAGATAAATTTTACTGAACAACTTTTTAAATCAATTTTTATTTAAATAAAATCAGTATTAAAATGATTTATATGATAAATAATCAATATCAATATTTAAACAAATATTTTACTAATCAAATTTTTTTTACTTGAGTCAAATCTAACAAAAGAATTTTATCATCACAAAAAATGCTTTGAACTATTAATGCATGAAGGTTTTTCATTGTTGCTGAAAATTGAGAAGAATTTAAAAATTAGAAAATAGAAAACATTTTGTTAGTCTACTGTATTAAATTATATTTATTAAAACTAATCTCTTCCATTGCACAATATTCTCATCAAGCCAACAAGGGTTTTTTCGAATCTGTTAACTTATGACAGCATATAATCTAATAAAGAAAGCAGATTTTTGACCGCCACCCTACCTTGTTATTAAAATATTGCTCGTTTCAAGAACCCTGTGGTCTCAAAACAACATTAACAGAGCTAAAAAAGGTACAAAATATAACAAATAAATCACTTAAAACTTCATAGTTGCAACTTTCATAGTAAATTTTTTTTTACATTATTTTAAGTTATACCATCATCTACATTCTAGAATATAATAATTAAAACATGAAAAAAACTTTTTGTCATTTTTTTTAGATTTATGAAGTCAGATTATTTTTTGTATTTAAAGTATCACAGCAACTTTTTATTTTGATTTTCTTATACAAATATGATGCAAAAGACTTTATGAGGTCGGTTGATTCATTTAACAAGTCAGATTTATTCATGACTAGAATTAATTTTGGAGTGTTTTTTCTTAATTTTTTTTTTATATTTTTCACCACTTCAAGGCCGGGAAACATTGTATTAATCATATTATTTTGTTGCTGTATACAAATGGCTAGATTACATTTCAAAGAAATTAAACAATATTATAAAAGTTTAAAAATAAGCAAAACATAACTTACAAAGTTTTGGAAATGGTTGGTGTCTCATTGATATCAGATGGTTATATTGAAAAACTTTCATCAAACAAATTTGAAATTGGTGATGAAGATCTTACACATATAACATCTTTTAAAAGTAACTCTTAAAAGATGTCATATGTGTAACATAATTCATTTATTTTGATAACAACTAAATAATTTATGCCTCTATAGCAATAAAATACTACAAAACATATACATAACTTTACTGAAAAATGTTTAACATACTATCAAGGTAAATTATTAGATTTCTACTATGTTATATTTTTACATACTTTGATCAATGGACATGTGATAGCGTTTTTTTTTTAACCATAATTTTTGAGAAAAATTATAGGAAACCTGAAAAGGATAATCAGATGGAATCTAACCAACTGCACTGATCTGATAAATTATATTTATCAGTTTTATATTTATCTTAGAAATAATTAAAAATTAAATTTTTTATAAATATAATTATAATTTATATAAGATATAAAAATTACAGTTAAAAGATATATTATATTTACGTGTAATCAACAAATAAAAATCTCTCCCAGGAAACATTTATAATGTCTTTATATATATATATATATATATATATATATATATATATATATATATATATATATATATATATATATATATATATATATATATATATATATATATATATATATATATATATAGTGTCAGGAAACATTTATAGTGTAAGAGTCTCTTTGAAACATTTTTCATTAAAAAAAGGACATTTTTCTACAGAAAAGAAATGATTATTTATGATTAACATTTTAAAAAATACATATATAACATATATGTAGGTCATAGTAAGCCTATTCCACACCGATCTTCTCTATACATGTTCCTTTTACATATATATATATATATATATATATATATATATATATATATATATATATATATATATATATATATATATATATATATATATATATCCTAGCGATCCAAACCAGTAAAATATGGATCTTTATCAAACCAACCATTTCTATATTTATCTATTCCCCACCAATTATTTCTATGCTTATTCCTTGTTTACTTCAATATTTTTTACAATTCATTAAAAAAGCTGCTTTAAGGGGAAAAATTAACATACGCACTTTTTCAGCATATGTAGAGTTTATAAGATATTTATAAAATGCTTTGCTTTTCTTGTACATGCATAGTTTTGATAACTCAGTGTATTATTGCCCTGTCAGTGGTGTCATTTTGTAAGGGTTCAAATCCGCACCCTAATACAATACATTTTAAATTTTTCTAATCTGGTTGTATATATTTATAGAAAAAAATATATAT